AATTTGACATAACCCGCTGCTGCAAACTGTTCCATTTTGTTTTCAGTTTCAAGCCTTCTTGGTTTCAAAATATCATAAATGTGATATTATAATCAAACTTAATTCATCTACCATACGTCAAATCAAAACACGAAGTTGTCTTCACAACATCGTGCAATCTATTTGAATTAGGAATCATGTTTGATTTCGTTGAAGTCTTCAAGTAGCAGGTGTGACAGGTAGCTCGGCAGTTATTGTTTATTATTGATTTCTGTGGCTGAGATGACGAGGTGTGTTCACGGCCTTGTCTTAAGAAATCGTCGCATTCCTTGAGATTTACACTCTCGTCTCAGCTGACCATGAAAACTAATTAAATTTCAGTTTTGTAATTTAAAGATTGGACTTGGATGATAAGTGACATGTGAGGTGTAATTCAATTGTTATATTTCAGCATAAAGGAGGGACGTTGCTTGATTAGACTGAAGGAATATTAAAAAATTGAAAGACATCACAATGAAAGGCGTAGACATTTCGGGGTATTTCATAAGTGCGGGGCAAACGAAAGGGAACGTTGATGAACGTAATCAAGCAACGTGCCTCCTTTATGCTGAAATATAACAATTGAATCACACCTCACATGTCACTTATCATTCAAGTCCAATTATCAAATTGTAATTGCTCACGCTTCTGCAAATAATGCATTGAATTCCTATCGTGTATGTTTTCACAAGTGTTTTGTCTTGTAATTATTGGAACACGCTATAAATATTTATAATATATTTTTCTTGTTATTTAGAGCATAAGGTTGTGCATGTTTGCGTTTGATCAGATCTATTTGTCTAAACCAGATGTTTTTAAGCTTCACACAGCCCCAAATCCCCTGAAAATTCAACCAAAAAAACATAAATTATTTCCTCTTTTTAATGAACCAGTGCTAACATTTTCATCAATTGGAACAATTGTTTAAGCTGTGAATTTGAGGAACTTAATTCTGACCTTTCTTAAAATATAGGCACAGTGACACTTTTCAGAAATACAAAGATAAATGCGGTGCTATAACGATTCTCCTTTTCTGATTTTTTAATATCTTAATGAACTTAGTTTTTGGGGCGTTAATTGTTTCAAAAGTTGCGAAGTTGAAAAACCCTGAAAGAGAGGTTTTTTTATGCTCGTATTTATGTAAAGTATTTTTGTAAATAGAGTAACATGTATATGAATATTTACATAAATTTGCAATGTAACTGTAAGTTACTAAGGCAGTCCCAAACTTACAAAATGTCAGTTTGTCATATCATGACAAACGTGCGCACCTTTTCCATTGGACAAATTAAAACTTCTAAAAGTATTAATTTCTAGAAATCACAACACGCTGTAAGCAATCGTAGGCCTAATAACTGGTTTTATTCCTCTCTTTTTTGGCCAGGTTCGTCAAATTGAAATCCGATATATAAAAACAGAAAATTTGAGATTGACGGAAACCAAACGTCAACCTTCGTGCCAAAAATCTGCTTCATCACATGTGATTTTCGTATAAAAAATCTAAGTACCTAAGTCATGTTAATTATGTATTTAATCAAGTGAGGTTTATCTTAATAATTACACTGTTTTACACTATTTAAAAGCACACACATATCTTGTGACACCTGTGTTCAGCAAGCTTGACTTTATTCAATAATTAATAAATAATTTGTCTCAACACGCACCGAACGTATATATTTCCACCAAGTTTGTAATCTTCATTTTAGTTGATTAATTGATCTTCATTTAAGACTTACAAGGACTGGGGGAAGATGTCGGTTTATGTCAGTTAGCATATCGTGAATATAATATTGCCAAGTTAATTCGAATTTAAAGTTCATGAACGTGCCTCGCCAGCGGCAACATTCCTCGTGCTGTCGACTCTACACCGGACCAAAGGGCACGTATTCTCGGAAATGTTCAGACAGCCTTGAATGAAAGCGACATTTTTCATCGTTTTCGTACTCAGACCTGTTCCAGGTATAGGCCTACACCATATTAATCATGTTCAGGTTGTCTCAGCTAATTACATACGATGGATGCCATAGATGAAACTCCCAACAACACACCTTTAGCGCCAAAAGACTGGTACCTTGACGAGTGGGATTACGTATGCTATTACTGTTATCGGGGAACCAGACAAAATGGCTATCATTGTGAGCAGTTCCGTAAATGAAGGTTGTCTGGTGAAATTCGTGGCTTTTCTCTGGTTCAGAAATCATTTGACCACGTCTTGTCTGGGTGAAAGCACGTCAGGAAGCATCTTAGACAACAAACAAGGTAAGACACAACTAACTTTTTGTCTTTCTTTTGTTAAATTTGGAAGGTAAAGATACTGCATTGAGCAAGTGCATGCTCCGGTAGTCGTGTCGTTCTGCCGAGTCGAGTCCGCCACTTAATTCTATTCTAATGACCATTGATAGGCAGACTTAAACTACCCAAGAAACTGTTGTCTACATTTTCCAGAACTAAATAATTAGGCCTGGTCTACAGCTTTGCAATGATCATTGTACATTGTAAAACTGAAATGTCAAAATTATTATAATCCCACCGTTACTTTTGTTTATATTGCTATTGGGCTAAAATTCTCTTTATTAAGAAACGCTATGATAACAGTACAGTTTTGCACTGTAATCGGATGTTTAAACATCGTGCATCATAACGATGAACTGAGGAGACCTCTATCCTGGCTGACATGTCATCTGTAGTCAAGTCCTATTTTTCCCGCGCGTCTACTTTGTTGACATTGACTGTTTACCAGTCCTGTGCCTTGCACATCGAGAGCTTGCCTCGGCGAGCAAAATCACCCCAAACCGGATTCGTTCCTGGTTGCTACGGATTGACTGGCATTTCCACATGTCACTTTGTTATCAATTATGACATCGCTGGTCGTGTCGTTTTTTTGAAAGAGATTACTTTAGTTCGATATCTTTCTTTCTTTTCTTCTGTTTAAGAAACCTGCTTATCGTTAGGAAGAGATGCCACGTGGAGACGTTGGTCTCTTAGTATTGATGTTCTTTGAGGGCGTATGCATGGGGTGTCTTGCTGTGTGTGATACTGGCATGGGCGTCGCCAGGATGGGGCAAGGTGGGGCGCTCCGCCCCCCCCCCCCCCTAGAAAAGGAAAAGAATTAAAGGAACGGTGTGAAGTCATATTTGCTATAATAAAAAGACACATTTAACAAGCTGTATTTGTAAATTGAGACACCATCATCATGTACATCGAATTTCAAGCCAATTACCGCCATAAATTATTGTCACTCAATTTATTCACGATTATTAGGCCTTCACTGTGTATTTGCACATGTGTCATTGTACCGTTTCCTTGACAACCCGCCACGAACTCATTCGCCAATTATCAGGAAGTGTCTAACAGTCATTTCACGAATGCGTTATTGTTCTCTTATGGCGTTTTAATGGGAAAATGGCTGTGCCAGTGTGAGAAACATGACAATGCGTTCCTTTTTTTATTTCGTCGTGGATCGATAGCAACATGATGCCTGAGTGTGTCTGAAAGGCACATATTTTTTCGACCATTCGGTCATAATTCTAAAAAAAAAAAAAAAAAATGGCAGTGAAGCATTATACATGTAGATGGCATCTTGATACTGTCAAGGTGGTGAGGGTACTTATCTCTTAGCTGAGTCCTTGAAGGAAACAAACAAAGATTCAACTTATAATATGCAAATCCACAAAGAATATGGTAATGGTACGTGTCGGAAAATAATACACAAGAAAAGTATAACAACATCTTGCTCAGGAAACGCAGAAACAAAACCCAAACATTTTGGATCGTCATTTTGACAAGGCCTTATTTAGTCTTGGTAAGGTTTTAGTTGTTTTCCCTGATTACATTTAAAAAGAATTTATACCTTAAAATAATTAAACGAACGTTAACATTTGAATGTGCTCCAACTTTATTCCATCGATCTAATAACTTTTTAAAAGATCAAAAAATTCTACGCTTTGTGAACATGAGAATAGAGTAACGTGAATTGCGCCTTCAGTCATTTGTTTCGGAATTTAGACCTACTCTCTATCTCTGGGTGCAGCCCAAACTTGCCCACGCTGGCCCGATCACGATTAGTATTACCCGTAATCCACGGAGCCTATAGCCAAGTCTCATGGTGGGCTTCGCCAGAGCCAGGGCCTATCACATAGACTAAATCACGATTTGCATGCCCTCAAATGTTCCGGTATAATTATTTGAACATTTTGAGGCCCAAGAACTTGATGGTTTGTGAAAATTAAGGGTCAGGAAGCCGTGCAGGGCACTGCGAGCTCGTATTTCTGTGAAATTCGGATAAACTTAAGCGCTATGACTTTGAAATGGAGCGTGGACGTCCTTTTTCAAAATGGCGATGGGCTTCAGGACTACTTTTAGGGGTGATCATCTTTGGACGAAATTTCGTCCAAAAATTGAACAGAAAATGAAAAAAGATGAAATAGGTTTTAATCTGATGAGTGTCTCAAACACCTTGGAGAAAATTATAAATAGTTTTTGGAAGTATGCGTAATTATCACTCGGGTCTATGGCAGTATACTGCTCTGCAATCCTTACAGTCTTCATCTGTAACATGAATCAGTCGTTGAAAATACTAAACGGCGTGGCCTGTGATACTTCAATTGATATTGTGAGGCGGTATCATGGTAGGCCTATTTAGTCAACGCATGATGGCGCTGTTGTGGTATGCGTTCCAGTAGGAACATGGACAGATTGTGATTGGTGCTTGGTCTTTCCAAATTTAAATTATAGATCGATGTCACCGTTGGGGGTGGGCTTCGCAGACTGTTTTACCTCTTGGTGCCAAGATGAAAACTATAGACCTTTATCATGCTGCGACCATTTCAGTCATGTTCCCTGTATCCAGCACTGAATGGTATGTTTTTGTGCAAAAAAATGAACCAGACCATTTTTCCTTCCAGCCTCGCTTTGGCTACATTGATTTGAATGGGAAAACAATAAAATGGCTGCAACATGATAATGGTCTATACATCCACGGCTTGTTTTCTGCATAATCGATGCCATTAATATTGTACACAGCCCTGAAGACAACATCACTGTTGCATGCATGCCTGCCTATTATTAAACACGTCTTCCTGAACGTGCGCACACGTTTAAATTAATAATGCGTATTGTGTCAGCGCCCCACGTTGCTTGCGTATTGCGGCGTTAATTGGGCGAGGATATCTAGATGGAAGGTGCCAGATAGTATTTAAACTAGTTATAAAAACCTCGCTGAGAGAAAGTCGAAACAATGATCAAGATGCTCGTGAACTGTTTACTCTTAATTAAATCCCAAACGACGCTGTTTCCGCAACAGTAACTAATTTCGAACTACTGTAGCAGAAGAGGATGTACTACGACCCAGTTCCTTATTAACACCAGACAATACCTGTGCCCTCGGTAAACCGTGTATCCATAGTTACGGAGGGATGTCGTGATGAGTAGAGGCGCAAAACTATTACTTGTGGTCCGCTGCATGTTACTGGGGAAAGTGAATTTTTGTACAGAAGATTATCGAGACGTACACCCGCGGCTCAGCACCACCTAAAGAAGTCATCATGGGATTGTGCTGGACTTGCCTGACGTTTGCGACAATTATGTATGGTATGTATAGATTAGTAAACTTCATATCATTTTCTCCTTAATGGGCAATGTCTTTTATTCATTACATAATCTTTAAAAAATGTGTGCCTTTACCACTCTTTAATTTCAACTGTCAGGAAAAGGCGCAGTGTTCGTATTCGTTGCCTTGACTATGATTGTTCGAAGTTAAGTTACTGATCTCGGAGATGCTTCTTTAGACTGTTTTCTCTTCATACTATGAAATATAACGCGTTTTGTAAGTTATGCTTTTGTGCATAATGTTTTTTAAAACAAATTTTACCTTTGTTATCCATGGCATTTTTAAAATTGCTGATAAAATTCGGTTTTTGATTTTCGAACTAGATCGCATGTGTTATTTTGAAATCAAAATCAATTGCCTATAGGCCTACCGGCACTTTTTGATTCTACGAGTGAAAGGTCAGTTCGTTATTATTACGGGAACAATTCTGCTCTACCCCGTAGCTATCTGTGGTAGCGCTAGGAGCAAGATGAAGACGCTTCACTTCGGTCCCGTGTCGCCGTCGGCTCCTGGGGAGGAATTCGACAAACGTCTGTGGTTAAAATCAGCCATGCCAAGGGGACAGGATCGATGCCCCAAGATGGATGACCATCAGTCAGTAAGTCAAGATCACATGACTACTGAAAGTATCCAAGCAGCCTGTGCTGTTATCACGACTGATTCATCTGCCACCCCGTACCCTGAACAGGGCCAGTTCTCATCATCTCTTGAGCGATTGGAATTTACCCTACAGAGTGCTGGTAACATTCGCGTGGACCTCTACGGTGCCAATAACCAACACCTGTTCTCACTAGGTAAGTTTGAAATGAAAAACTTTCTGAGGCTCAAATACTTCAACGTCTTCAAAAAGTTTTGTCAAGGCGTTTTGAGCCAGATTTAGACTTTTACTCATTCTTAGAAGAAAAATTCTTTATTTTTTCGGACGTTTTATATTTGTTTGCTTTGAAAATATATTCACCGATATCTAAGTATCGTTTTTGTCTCGTTACTTTGAAACTAAATTTACAGTTCAGTTCAACACCAGACAAAATGCCACGTTAGCAAAGAAAATAGCAGAGTATGAATCAATAATATTGCAAAAGGAAAAGCATTTTCACTGAAAATACATGTACATGTATTTTCATGGCTGATTTTCATTTTTTTCTCTGCCTATCATGAAGTCGTCTCTGTCAATCACTTTCCCATTTTCTCTCGTCGTTCATGACAGAACTCCGGCGTTTTTCATCGACCATTTACCGCCGCTACGGTGAATGGGATAGTGACTATGTTGGGACAGGAATCGAATGGGCTAATGGTCGCTTCTGGATATCAAGCTCTACCAGCAAGTTACAGGTGGGAGGAGATGGAAGTGACGACCCTATGATCAGCTTCGATCATTCATCTGGCTCTCATGACATCAGGAAGATTGGACTGTACTCCGACGAGTATGCTGACTGGACAATCTTCACACCGTGCAACTAGGCTTTCGGGTGTTTAACAAACTATGGTCCCGTATCCGACATCGGCTTCATGTTTGTACTTCATGAGTTTAAACCTCTAGCTGTTTCCGTATCGGGAACATCAGTGGCTTCAGGGTATTTCTACATGTATTGGGTTTGATGTGAATCTTTTGAATCGATCAAACGATTCTTAAGACATGGTGACGCAGCCAGAGATGAAGTCGATATGAAGACTTTATTTCCAAAACGCAATGTACACCATTTTGTTCCCTTTTAGCATCCTATGTTCCCCTGGCTGCCCAAAGGCAATTTGTTATTATATTTAAATACAACTTAAGAATACAATAAAGCGAAGTTAAGAAACAGGTATTATACAAATGGATATGTCGCGTTTTGGAAAGAAACTCTTCATATTACTAAACTGGCATAATAAATGTAGCCATAATGGATGCAGACAGAATGTGTTCACGATGTTTAACCTTGTTAAATTAAATATTAGAATCATCCCATCAAGCTGTATATATTAATCATGACCGTCAGTGCAAAATACGTCACGTTGAAACATCAGCGTCTTGTTGTCATGGTGAGGATATGTAGCCGCATGTAGCGTAATGTAATACTGTACCGCGTTAATGGTTAAGAACACGTGATTTGTAATGATCAATGTTTAAATGTCTAGTTGTATTTTATTAACTTGAATTAGAGGGATTTTAACCCAAACTCATCGCATTGAAATGAATAACGTTAATCATAATATATGGATAATAGTGTTGTTGACAACCATAAAGTGCGTCGTTCATGCAGTCAGAGTCGTATTTACATACATTGGCAAACAAATTAGCATATATTAAAATACAATTATGTAGAAAACGTACTTTTCTTTCCGCTTTCCTAGTTTCTCACTGTGGTATTTAAAAATCTATTAAAAAAAATCAAAGTAATTGAGAGTGATGCACGATATTGAATGTGTAATAATTATTGTGTTGCTTCGTTCGTTTGCAATATTACTGCGTCTAAGCTGACCACTGCAAGGTGTCCAAGACTAACACACAATTAAAAAATAAAAGATTCAGGACTGTTAGGGTCCAAACAATAGAGTTACCCATATTGCAGTGTCTATTTTAATATTGAAAGCTGATGTGATGTAATTTCCCTCTGAAGAGACCTAATAAATTTGGCAATTACACGTATTTTAACTGCATGTCATTATTTGTTGATAGCTATTCCATTAATTCCTGAAAACAAATACCCTGCTTCACTCCATGTGTTTAAGCACCCTTCACTCCATGTGTTTAAGCACCCCTCCCTGATTTATGTTTCGCCAGTAGGTGCTGGGGAGGGTGAGGGAGCAGGGGGTAAGGTCCTCAATAAACTCCTCATACTATCCATCTCAGCTCCCGTGTATGGCTTACACAGTACCTTCTCTAGTCGGTTAAACCGACCGTCATACACGGCTCTGTATTTAAGATACTTGGGTATACTACTCGCTGATTTGGTCTCTCGTAAGTCTCCAAGTTGCGCAGTCATCTTGTGAACATCTCTGCGGAGGAAAGTGGCCGGCATACTCTGACGTTGCGTAATCAATCCATGGCTTCGCGTACCACGGACCGGCACACGACTTCCTCCGCCACCGGTGTTTGCATCGAGGGACGGGAAGCTAACACCGCCAGCTTTCCGTCGGTCCAGCATCATGTGTCGTGCTTGGTTGAACCGCTGACTGCCTGATGATGAAGGGATTTCTGTCTTGAATATGGGATGAGTAGGATTAGGGAAGATTGGCTTCATCTCCAGTAAACCGTCTTCAGAATACTCTTCCTTCTGAGACTGAGGCGATGTTGAGTAGTTACTTTTGTGTCCCTCAGCGTAAGTTTTAAGCGCGAGGGTTTTGTAGGTATCATGTCGTACATGCATACGGGCGTTATAGTTCGTCCCTTTACCGGTGGCTACTTGGGACGTGTCGATCCCATTCAATAAGTCTTTCATCACTCCTGTCTTGGCCTTCTGTCGATCTACAAAGGCCTTTCTTTGCCACGCCACCTGAACGATAAACTTGTATCTCTCCTTAGACAGATCCATGAGCCTTCCTTCCAGCATTCGTTGCTCAGTTACGTTATCCTTGAGTTGGGAGCCAATCATAGCCGTCCCCTCGCCTTCATGCCCCGCCCCCTCCTCCCCACGTGACCCACTAGGCTTGGCCCAGTCGTGGATGTCCTTCCAGATATCATCCTTGGCCGAGATCCGCGCAGGCGCACTAGATGGTTTCTTGGATGTTGTCATCTTGGGTGCAATGTGATGGGCGTGGCTTCACACACACCGCATGAAGGAGGCAATACAGAGTCCGCAAACTTCGCGACAAATGAGTTCTGTTCTTGGTGTGTCGTTCAAACTCGATCTCCGTGTAGTTGCACTACCATCTGTAGTTCATCTGCAATGTAAAAAGGAAATCAATGTTACCAAAATGCTTCAACTTCATGCAGCAATAATAACAAAAAAACAGCAGCAACCAACACGTATAGGCCATGGTGGTTATACAAGCATAGCTACGTCCCATTACTCCCGTTGTGAAATTACTCATTTTGAATGTTAAGCTGAGAAAGAAGACAAGCCTCACGGTTGAGGTTTGATTCCATAACATTCGTTCTACTGAATATTTTGGGAAAGATTTCAACTGAAATATCAAACTGAACTCTTCTTTATAAAAAAAAAGTACTACCGAGTCCGTTTGGAGTCCTGATCCTGCAGCGGTTTCACCAAACAATGAACACCACTGACCAGTGAATGAAATTATAATTAAATGCTTCATCAGATTCAAACCTTGAAGTTCAGATTTTAACAGAAAGAATTAATGAGTAGAGGTCATTGTGATTTATCATTGTCCCAGTGGACTCGATACAACAAAAACGCAAGGGTAAATATTGGTTACAATAGGAACACACTGCCGTGCCGTGGCTGTCATAGGAACCTTCAAGTAGGCTCATTGTGTGCAGACCACCAAATGGAATACCGTGGGGGGTTTCTGGGGATTTACTCTTTGGTTCTTTCGCTTCTGTGTGAATCAACGGAAAATTGTTGGACTATGGATCGTGCGAACAGAAATATGACGAGAGTTTAGACAAGTGAAAACGAAGCACTCTATGACTGTCTGGAGTGCCCATAATGGTGGCTAGAATACACAGCGAAATATCTCTCTTGCTGAAACGTGTCAGTGTCTGTGAACTCAAGTGTCAGTACTCGTGGTGTGTAGGAGTAACCTTTTTCATATGACAGGTTTTAAAACATTACAAAGTTGGGATAAATGCTATCACATAAAGCCCCATCATTTTCTCGGTTGGGTGCAATATGCCCAATGTTTTCCCAATAAACCAACCCACATTGTGCCTTTAGACCAACAACAATAAACACCCGGCCATGGAAGGGTAAGGGTGACATCATCTGAGGTCAATGTCACCTGAAGGTCACACAGTTCAACAAATGGCCAATAATAATCGAGAGAGACACTTGTGTAAACTCGCTGCTTAGTGGGGTAGCGTTTCTGTTGTCATGGCAACCGGATGCGTCACATAATAGCGAGTTTTAACATTTGATCTGTGGGTGGCGTGCGGCGGCATAGAATTTGAGTTATTGCGTGTAGGGAAATATTTTAAAACTTGAGGGTTAAATTTTGAGAGAGAAAAATTTAAAAACAACGCAATACATGTACACTGATTTACTTCAAGCCCATAAGAAACTGCGATGTCCTCCATGTACATGTATAGTACAATAATGACTACCATCCAAATCAGGATGAAATACCATCGGCATTAAAATTGCCAACGTGAATGCAACATGTCTAAATCACAACACAAAACAGCCACCGAATCCAGCCTTCGTCTGTGGATATACCGGCCACGTTCGTACATAATCTTCGAAATCGCGCAAGAGAATCTCTGTGTAAATAGAATGATCTCTCCTTCCGATGCAAGAAGCACTCACACCATCTTACAAGGATATTGGAAGAAAAGATTTCTTGAAAGAAGCAGAACAGAACACCTTGAGGCGCCAATTTCAGCGAAGAAAAGAAAAAAAAGTGAATGCGCCCAAAACCTACAGACGGATACTGTTTGTTGACTTAGACCCGAAACCCAAAGCGTCTCTATAGGTGACCTTTTCAGTAGATCATGCGGAAAACAGGGTACTTTCCACACCGTTGTTTGGCGTACACCAGAAGTTCTTTTAGGAGGGGTGAGTTCGGAGACAAATAAAGAAGCCTCTTCACTATTGATGACAAACTTAATGTAAAGCAACTTGGGAACATGGTAATACAACCGGATCAAATTTTAAGGATTAAAAAATGTATGTGTCTTTGATTTTTTTTTAAAATAAATTCAAGGACGGAAGGTTAAAATAAAACGTGTGGGAATTCACGGACGTGTAACGTTGAATTAACTTGTCGCAAGTTGCAGTTTCAATATTCCCCTGTTTGGAACAAAATTCGTCCGGACAAATAAAATGATAATTGATTGATGAGATTTTACTTCTTTTCGTAAAGAAAATGAAGGTGATCGAGTTACGGGAAAACGACACAAAAGAAAATGGTTAGAATGTATGAAAATGGCCGAAAATTGTAACTGGATAGACAGCGGAGTTATAACTGCATAAATCATTACAGAAATCAATAAATCAAACAATACACACACAAACAAACCACCCAATAACCAATCGAGGTCGTAAACTCTTCAGAAAAATGTCTGTGAAGAGAGGAACCAACAGACTATATCATCAAAAATTAAAGTGTGTTTCAGAAGGTCTGCTGAGCATTCAAAGAACTTCAAAGAAGATCGATGAACATTGCATACAAGCGCCTATCTGACAATGAAATAAAAGCGAGGGATTGCTAACAATCTTAGATAAGTTGTAAAGTGTGTTTTATCATGCGGGAAGTAGATGGGAACATAGGGGCACAATCGATGAGAAGACGGGGGGACAACGGACCCCACCACAACGAGATAAAACACGCTTCATTATTCATTAATCATGGAGTTTGTTGGCATAGATTATTAAACTTTTAAAGTGAATCTACTCATATTAGGAAGACCCCGACTAAACTCGTGAACTCAGCGTTCGTGTCATTTGCTGTCGTTCGTGTCAGTTCGTGTCATCAGCAAACAGCCAACTTTGGTAAAATAAAAGCTAACGTTGTTCTTACTGTGGTTTCAAAACTGTTTGTGTTTCATTGTTGTAAGTACGAGCAGCACATTGTTATTATCTGTACTAGGACTGGTAAACTTACCAGGAATTGGAAAGTTATCTACGAGCTGACAGGGATGGAATATACATTTGTTTAAAAGAAACAATCACGAAATGTGAGAAGAGTCAAGCATAATATAGTCTTCGATGTCATTGTCAATTTGCTTGTTGTTTTCATGTGCAGTTATCTTACTTCAGAAGTTGTGAACATCGTCCATTTATTAAATGATGATGGCCTTTATATTCCAGCACTTCATATCACTTTTCAAAGAATACGTTTTCTGCTGACTCGACTATGTTTACATACACGTGTACAACACATAGCGCGAATATTATAACAACGTAGTCTCTATAATCATGATGCTATGGAAGGACTAAATTGTTTCTTACCATTTGGTTCCGTTTAGAGAATCGGTGGAAGGTCACCACTACATCATGTGCGTGCAGTCCATCCACATAATTATGCTGGCACTTTAGCTTCCAAGCTTCGGTGATATTAAATATTTATCTGAATCGAAAGAATTCATAAACACTCCTCGTGTAATAACTGGCAACAGATTTGTGTATTTGTAAACAACTCATAACCGACTAACAACAAGATTGAATGTTTGTTCATGTGTCTACTCAAACTCGTCTGTAGGCAGACTGACTAGATTTCATTTGAGTGCACTCTCTCTCAGCCCTTTCTTCGTGCTTTCGCCGTACCCCGATCAATGACCCTCTATTCAGCACCAGGCGCCTCGATTTGTCCCCCTGTCCCCCGGACAGTTTCGCGCCTGCGCAATCCCACCACTGTCGTCAAGGTGACATGAATTGTCGATAGTTCTGAAAAGATCGATTCGCTGCGATGAGTTCTTTGTATGCGAACTATATAGTGGGTTGTTTGATGGGGGTAATCCATTCATAAAGCTGCCCCCGCCGACTGATGGATGAGTGTACTTCTCGTTCAGAAGTGTTTGGTGGAGGATCATCCTGATTAGACCGTAATCTTGATGATTAGTCCGCCGTGAAAATCGCTGAAAAGCCAGGCGGATTCATCCAGGATTACATGCTGGGATTTGTTCAGATGCAGATATTTATAAAAAATGAATGTCTTTTATTCATAAATAATAAATAAACAAACAAATAAGACATGGAGGAAACCTAAAACATCATGAACATGAAAGACGAATCAAAATGTCAATGATGCAAGGAACTAGAAATTAATGTTGAAGCAAAACAAATAACGGAAATTAAATCACTGATATACAAAATGGTCTTCAGACTAGACAAATTAATAAACAATTTAATGCAAATCAAATCTGATCGAAAGAATAGAGAGTAAAACAACAGGAAAAGTACAAGAAAAGCATAAACCAGGGAATAACGATTGCTTGGCTAGGTGGCTAGGTCAAGGGAATATTGTTGCTTAGGATGAGCGCTATAGAAATGATACCTTAATCCTGAGAGTCAATCCAAACATGGCTGTATTTTGAGTAGAAGACAACGAAATAAAATAGTAAGAGTTTGCGGTGATTCCAGACCATGTGGCAGAATATCTTCTGAAGACGATACGATATCAGAGCACTGACTGATCGGAACATCGAGTTTCACAACCAACCGGTTCTTTTCAGAACCACACATTGCATCTTCTCAAAGAGATTCTACCACATGCTGTCACGGCAAACTCTCACTAAATTATCGCCTTGCAAAGAGATTTCAAGTCTTACTTGATGATTAAACTAACAAACGCTTTCACTGCAATCCGCCAGATTAGTTGCTTAATTAGTCATGCTTAATTGTTTCGAAATAAAAAAACAAAAGAAAATCAATGGCCAAGTGTAATTATTTTTAATTTGATCGATCGATTCAGTTTTTGTTCCCTTTTGCGCTTCTTAAGCAAACTATCTTTACCACATTATGCCCGAAACCTGAAACCACGCCCCTGGGGGGTGCACCGGTGGATGATTGTGAGTTTCCTAATTGCAAAATAATTCCTATCATACAAAGTATATCATTGTTATCTTAAAACTGGGATGCACAAATTGGGCTCAGTTATGCATCGGCAGAGAACCTTATTTTTCTGTACCCTTCATGAATTTTCAAAGTGATGTTGAAACTCACCCAAAATACAACTAAAGCCTGAATGGAGAACTCAGTGATACGAACAATTAAGTTATGCCTTCGTCGCCGAGATACAAGTCAGCAGAAGACGCCGTTGATGCATTCTGGCTGTACAACACGAAATGGTGACTGACATGGGCGGGGGCAGCCTCCTCTTGGGACAAAATCTGGAGTCGGAGGTCACATTCATAAACTGAATTTTAAACTTTAAATTATTCTCTTTAGTAAAGGCATTTTAAATTTTCTTTTATTGCTAAGAACCCTTTCAATCTTTTTCACTCCCATCCCGCTCCGATATTCTCTTCCCCGCCGACCCTTCTTCTTCTCTTTCTATTCAAAATTCACAAATAAAAGTGATTTTCAATACCCCTTTATCACGTTTTATTTGTGCTTTACGGATCCAATATTTAGCGCCCTCTACTGTTCAAATTAACAGCGCCCTCTATTGAGCCCTTTGGTCGGCGTTGTTAGAAAAACTTAGATCAATAGAGGGCGCTATAATCTTTGTCAATAGAGGGCGCTATTTATCGAACGTGAACCGTACGTCAAAAATTGTGAGTAAAACAAGATTATATTTCGCAAATAAATACTCAATTCTTTGGAAGCATTTAGTTGGAAATGATTGCTATAAGAGTAAGACGTTCTTAACAATCGCGTAAGTTTCGTTTGTTTCTGATCAGTTTTATCTGTGAATTGTCGTTTTGCCATGTTTGCTAATGCTATTCATGGAGTTCTTATTCCTCCATGTGCTATTGTTGATTGCTAAGTAATGCGGGGGGGGGGGGGCGACAATTGAAAGGCGCATAAACGATCAAGTGAAAAAAAGCAGTATTTTTAGACAGGGTGCTTTCCTTTTTATAGCTCCATGCTTAATTAATTTAATGCCTTTTGATGAAAACAAAAATGTGACACAGCACAGGTAGGCTAAACGAACAAAAGGTTGCAACCTGACGCCCCTTTTTTGTTCATATAATCATCTTATTGAAGGTCATTCAGTGCAAAAAATGATGCAGGGGTGTGAAATTTCAGCTTTAAAGCTGATTGCACCTTTTTTTGGTTTTGGATTTCAGAAATTGTACAGAAGTATATGAGATTTCCAAAGTTCAGTTTTTTAACACCTTTTTCAGCTGTTTTCAGTTATTTTTATCAATGGTCACTCACACCCCTGATCAGTGGCGTAGCCGTGGGGGGGGGGGGGGGGGGGGGGGGTGACAGCCACTTCCACATACGTGGGAGTGGCATCAGGTTGCAACATTTTTTCCAGTTAGGGATGTGGGGGAGAAACAAGCCCCCACCCTCAACCCTCCATGCCTGTCCTGACCCCTTGTGCCATCCCTCCTAAAGAACTATGACCAAAACCATTGTGTTGTCCTGCCCCCCATGCTCCAAAAATGAGGCCTTCCCCAAATAAATTCCTCCTTCTGTAAATGGCCCCGAGATACACTACTGAAAAAGAATAGAGATTGTATTTATTCATTTTGGTTTTGAACTTGCTTGGCTTGTTAATAAATGTTCAATGAGGCATCACTGGTGGATCCAGAATCCAGATTTTATGGAAGGAGGGGCCAAAAATCCAAATTGCAAGATTCTTAGTCACTATCAAGTGTATTTGTTCCATTAAAATTTGTTTATGATGTGATTTAATCAGGTTACACTGGGCTGAATCCGGGGTCATTTGATGACTGGGTGACCAGAAGAGCAGCAGAGCAGAGACACAAACAGCAGCAGTGATACCAGGGGCCTCAACCATCATGTACCAGTCACAGCAGAGAGGACGCCCAAGACACAGAACGGAGGCAAGAGGAGAAACGCAACTTCCAAAGGAAACTGGAAGAAGAGCACGTGAGGTATCAGAGGAGACACTCAGAATGACTCCAGCAGAAACTCCTGCCGGATGGTGACCCTCTTGGCGTGAATGGTGCACAGGTTGGTGTCTTCGAAGAGGCCGAAGAGGTAGGATTCACTCGCTGAGCATCTACAACGATGTACCAAGGTGTTGTCATAGCACACAGAGATGATGACCGAGGTGTGACATGTGACATTAGCTGGGAGGATGCTGCGAGGCCGAGGAGGTTTGTACACTCCCAGCAGCTGCTGTGGCATCCGGACGAATTCCTGCAGACTTTTGATCCCACCTTGAATCAAACCGTGTGCAATTCAGACTGTAGTATCTCGCTACCAGTGCAATCACTGTGGCTTGGACCATGGACTGAAACCTTCAGCTTTGTGTTTACCAAGTTCCATTAATCTATTAAATTGGCAGCAATGGGTTTCACTAAAATGTCCATGAAATTCGTTTTGTGCAATATTCTACTCCACTTAAATACACGACAATATTTGACATCCCTTTTTGGTTGATTTCATTCAAAAGTGCACTTTTTAAACATTATTTTAAAATTGTCATGCTTTTCTCAACAACTTGGGGTGCTGTTGCTGTGATGTCATTCCAAAAAGACACTGTTCAGTTTAGGGGTTTTCTGTTCAAATATGAAACCAAAAATCTGCTCATTGAAAACATTTGTGAGAAAATATTGCGCTTACTGCCATGTACTGACACAACAAATCACCAAAGAAAAGAACATTTACAGCAGCAAAATATCTAAAATTCTGGACAGCTTTTTGTGCCGAAATAGCTGTAACATACAGGTTTCTTCCCGAAATGACATCACATTTTTGCTCATAAGTGTGGTGATTTACATTAGCATGAAACCAAAAAGGCATCAATTACCCTGAAAAATGGCACCACGAAATTTGAAAATAGGCTAAATAAGGCCCAAAAAAGAAAATATTCGGTCTCTGGTCAGACCAAAGTTCCGGAATTGACGCGGCGAAGCGGCTTTTTTTTTTTTTTTTTTTTTTGCTTTTTTTTCTTTTCTTCAAGCTTGGATTGTACAGACAAGGTGGGGCACTATTTTGCTTTTTTGGTGTCCTCATGTACATTGGTGTCCTCCATAATTTGCCTTGGTGCTTTCGATCATTTGCCTTGGTGCGATTTCCCATTCCTTGGTACTCTTTGGTAAAAAAAATTGAGGAGGTGCAGAAATAGAGGGCGCTGTTGGAGCTACCGCGGAACATTTTGGGAGAAAAAAAGATCGACGCGCATGATTAAAATCGACGCGCGCGCTGACCAGAGACCGACTTATTATTTTTTTTGGCCTAAGACACAAAGGTGCATTTTTCAAGGACTGCATCACAAACTACTTTGCATGAGCCCTGTAATATGAACTCAACTCAATTATCTCTCACTTGGATGAAGAGTCTGACAACAACCATTGCATTGTTTATCTCCGCTCTGCCAAAATGAGAATCAATCGAGTAGAATTGTGAACTCTGGGACCAGCTTTAGTACTTTGCCTTGTCTTCCTTAAACAGCTCAGCGAATCTTCTAAGTGCTTTGAAGAGCTCCTTGTGCAATTCTAATGACATGTTTAACCCTAACCACCCTAACTCCATCAAAATCCATCCCCCCATTTTGGTGGATGTTGGGGGACTGTGTCCAGAAGCCTGGCGTGAGTAGATTCTGATGGAGTATGATGGATTTGGGCCTAATGGTCTGAAGCAGTGCTAGGGGTATCCGATTGATTTTGCCTAGCTTCCTGTACTGCTATTGTGATAAAAGCCATGTGTAGCAAGTCCATGAATGCCAACACAGTTTTGTATTAGACGCACAGTGATTGATTGATTTTGATGGAATTGGTCCAGTTCCTAGTAAAAGATGTTAGGGTTCAACTATGTGGTTATAATACTGTATTATGAAGTATGTAAAGTTTGGATTTTGAAAACAAAATAAAGTGTTCTTTGACAAGCAAAACATATCTTCAAATGTCAAATCAGAGATGACTTTGTGTGAAGATTTTATATATAAATCTTTTTATATATTTATTTGGGGGGGGGGATGAAATAAATTCTGTCCTTCAAATGTCTGTGCCCAAAATTTCTCTCTTTATCTGATTTTGAGAACACATATTTCACACATACTTAGACAATTTCATGTTAACATTTTTGTTTTTGGACGGGAAAACTTTTAAAAAAAAATATGTATATATAATTTAAAATAAATAAAGTAACATAGCTGGGAATTGAACCCGGGACGCCTGATTGGGAATCCTATGCCGTACCACAAGAGCAAAACCCTTTCTACTTAACTTGGCGTTCTATATAATTATAGCCGTAATATAGGCTTAGTAATATAGGCGGAAGTTCCTCTGGGGGCGACAATAACGGTCGCCCCCAGCCGTACAAGCATTAATATATACCGCTATGGGCGACAATATCGGTCGCCCCCAGCGGTATACCGCTAGGGGCGACAATAATGGTCGCCCCCAGCAATACGCGCGTTAAGATATACCGCTATGGGCGACAATATCGGTCGCCCCCAGCGGTATATCGCTAGGGGCGACAATAATGGTCGCCCCCAGCGGTACGCGCGTTAATATATACCGCTAGGGGCGACAAGAAAGGTCGCCCCTAGCGGAATTTCCTCTGGGGGCGACAATAACGGTCGCCCCCAGCCGTACAAGCGTTAATATAAACCGCTAGGGGCGACAATAATGGTCGCCCCCAGCGGTACGCGCGTTATTATATACCGCTAGAGGCGACAAAGGGCGCCCCCAGCGGTACAAGCGTTATACCGCTAGGGGCGACAATAGTGGTCGCCCCCAGCGCGCGGTACGCGCGTTAATATATACAGCGCCACCATCGATACAAACGGGTAAAACGTTAGTTTGCTTCGAAATCTAAATATTCATTTATTCAAATTAGTGCTGAAAAGGCCAAGCCCTGGGACTGCAAATGCTGAATGAAATGGCGTCTCCAGCTAATACCACACACCACGTGCTTCTTACGCGTATACGCCGGGTACTAGGCTTGTTTACAGGCGTTTTGCCTATCTCCTTGCGAAGCACACGTGCATAGACTAAGCTAACAAAATAAGAACACCGGTTCGACGGATGCAAGGGAGTCTATTTTCTTTGTTAATTTTCTTTGTTGAATCTGGCGTTAACAATAAAATGTTTCCATTGAGGCGAAAGGATTAAACGCCGCTATCTTTTTCCACGCTTGAGTGCATCTGAATGGGTGTTTTTCAAGCGGAAAATTACGTATTACAGCTCTTATACAGCATTTTAACCTACAAAATGATACTTTTTGCAGAGGAAATTGAATACTGAACAAAACTGTAGTTTCAGAATGTAAAAATTCGCCGTATTAAGGAAATCGATGTCGAATTTTTTGGTTGTGCCAAGCAAAAACTTTCCGATCTCCAACGTAGGTGGCGCTATATATATTTCATCGACTGTGCAGTCACTGAGCCAAACAAGTTATACACCCACAAATTAGTTGAGGAGGGACACTGTCTTTTTTATGGAGGGGGAGGGGGGGGGGGAGGGGGAAGGGGTTAAACACCAGATATAATACAGACATCAATTCATAAATTATTTGTTTCTGAAGCAACCATGACCCCATATTGATCAAGAGTCTCACTAGTTATTCAGGATCTACAATATTCTGAATTGGTAATGAGGCCGCGTTTTTTCAAACACCTCTATGATGCACGTGTAGTATAATATGCACGAATACTGCAGTTTGCTTCATAAATAGGCTACATAATTGAATGCACTTAATTTCTATTTTATATATATCCCCCTCATACCCCCCCCCCCCCTGTCCAAACAAAATACAGTTTTGTAACCCCCCCCCCTCCCACTTATCAACTCCGCCATACCGTGATCACGGGTCGCCGGTCCCAAGCCAACCCACATGTTCCCCCTACGCGCGCACAAAACTGATAAAATAACTATCAATAATAATAGTGTTACATTAATTCCCAAACAATATTTCTGTAATGCCAATAGGTCTGTCACGGTACTCTCAATACGTCTGTACCCTTCCCCCCTTCCCCCTAAAGAACCCGCCGACCCCGCCCCTTCCCGAGGAAAAAGTATGCTGTGGCAATTGCCAGTTTGATTTTCTCTGACACACGTGTGAATGAAAAATGTTTAGCGCCACCTACGTTGGAAAGTGGAAAGTTTTTGCTTGGCACAACCAAAAAATTCGACATCGATTTTCTTAATACGGCGAATTTTTGCATTTTGAAACTACAGTTGTATTCAGTATGCAATTTCCTCTGCAAAAAGTATCGTTTTGTGTGTTAAAATGCTGTATAAGAGCTGAATTTCGTGATTTTCCGCTTGAAAAACACCCATTCAGATGCACTCAAGCGTGGAAAAAGATAGCGGCGTTTAATCCTTTCGCCTCAATGGAAACATTTTATTGTTAACGCCAGATTCGACAAAGAAAATTAACAAAGAAAATAGACTCTCTTGCATCCGTCGAACACACGTATTCGTCCATGTCCATTGAGCTACACGTGCACCATAGAAGTACTAGTTCTAAACAGCCTGTGAATAAGACCAGCGCATTAGTGTTGTTGCGAGCTAGCGACGCCAAACAGTGTTTTTCAAAACTCGGCCTCATTGCCAGCTTTAGAATATTTAACGTCGTGCTCTTGCTCATTAAATCCTCAATAAGGGGTCATGTTCAGCTTCAGGACAATTAAATCACCTTAATATGGGACAAACTTAAGAGTTTATTTTCTTGTAGTGTGGAAATAAAAAGATTCCTGAAGATTCTTAAGCCTAATACAGCCGATTGATCGAACCCGGAACGACGCCGAGATTTAAAAAACCCAGCCCATGGTATTTAGCCTTCAGTTTCAGCAATAATTTACATATATGAATATTATTAGCGCCCTCTCTTGACTTGGGATTTTGATTGTGTTCTCATTTTTTGAAAGATAAATATCAAAGTTACTCGTTTCCTTAAATCTCAGTGGTCCAAGAACTGATTAAATTTCTTAGTTCAAGTTGTTCCTGTGTGGATTGGTAAAGCCATGCACGGATGATGTAAAAAAAAAAAGCCCCAAAATGCGCGAAAAATGGGAGAAACAAACAAACAAATTAACTGTCCACATCACTGTTAATCTTTGTGCATTCAATTTGAAGTTTGTTTTTATTCAAATCAATTACTTTTTTCAAATAACAGCATTTAAACAATTAAAATAAATAAAAAGAAAAGCCGATGATTAACTTAGATATTCCTCTTGAAACGAGATAATTTCAGACAAAATCTGTGAAGGATAGGAAGTATACGTCTCAACAGATTTCTGTTTTACAAAATTGTATCTGCACATGCATGTACTGACAATTTAAACCCTCAGATCAGTGACCATGTTTTGTTCAAACTGATCGTTTGCTGTTGATAAATTGGAAGTGGTCTTGGAAAGACTGTTGCATCCTGACGCCACTTCAGCCGTTGGGTACATCATGGAGCTATGTACAAAGTCTATGGAGAGTCAAACATTTTTTTTAAATGTATTTCATTGCAAAACTGCAAATGTTTCTCAGTCCCAGATTCATGTCTTATCATCATTTTGGCAATGACTGACATTAATCGAGATAATATGAAGAAAAAGTTGGCGTCAGGTTGCAGCATTCTTCCAGTCCCATCTGGAATGATTCACACATTTTCTGGATTGGTTAATTAATGATAAGGCAATTCAGTCAAAATTCTGAATGCTGACCTTCAACTTAATGCTTTTAGAATAAAATTAAAAGCTTTGGCCAAATTAGGCCTTTACATAAAAATAATTGTTTTAAATTTAATTTAAAATTACTATGAGCACGTTTATTTCAAACCAACACTAGGTTTTAAGAGAACAATGAACTCTTGTGATTGACTTGTCATTGACTGAAGAACTTGATTGACATGTCTGTAATAGCCAAGCTCACTGTCTCATCTCTCATCAACAAAGCCACAGCAGGAGCGGATCCAGGAATTTTCGCAGGGGGGGGGGGGGGGGGTTCATCAGCAAAAAAATCAGAAAATGTAAACAGGTTTTTTTCTCCGGACACTTGGCCTCCGGAAAATCAATAGGGGGCACTGTTCAAATTCAACGATTATTAACACTAGATTACAGAATGGTGTACCGTATTTTAAACAGGCAGACATTATAACAGTTTAATTTTTGGGGGGTGTCACAGCAGGGGGGGGGGGGCGGTTTCAAGTTATTTTTTAGGAATTTGTATGATCATTTTTTTTGGGGGGGGGGGGGTTTGACCCCCCCCCCCTCTGGATCCGCGCCTGCACAGGTTATGAGAGCTCTCCTTCTTTAGTCTAGTAATTACTCAATCTAAACCTTAACTAAGGGAATAAATATGGCCTTGGCAGGTTTTAACAACAAGTACATTTTAAACCGGCTAAGGGCTGTCGGCTTGGGCCATTATCAGCGACCAGGTTCCTAGCCCGCTTTAAATGTACTTGTTTAATACTGGCCAAGCACATATTTATTCTCATTCATAAATACTCTTTGTTCAGAAAGTCAAAATAAGAACACTACTATAAATTTCCAATGATTTTGTTCAGCACTTCTACCAAATGTTTTGTGAAACATCCCACTAGCTCATTTAATTATGGTATGTGCCTCGTTGCACCTGGATGGCCAAACAGGGAGCGAAGCCAGAATGCAGTGCAGACAGCTGGTCCAGATGTTCAGGATTCCATTCACAGCAGCAAGACTGATCCCAAATCGCACCGCTAAATCCTGCTCTAAGAGTCCAGCCCAACACCGCATAAGAACAGGAAGAACTGGTCAATTGGTTCAAGGTTTTCAGTCTCCATTGGGTCTTTAATGGCAACCCAGGCACCTGTCCTTAGCATTCTGGGTTGTAAGGCCTGGAACGTGTTCATGAATTGCTCATAAGTATCAAAGCTAGTGTAGAACTCCATCATTTCAGGATCTTTGGAGAACCTGGATGTGTCAAACCTCAGAGCTCGTAGCTGTTGATTCTCAGCTGCCAATTGTCGGATGTGAAGCACAGCAGCCTGTAACTGATCACTGGTGGGTGCAGCATAGTCATGATCAGGATGAGCAGCAGGAGAAGCAGTCAAGCTATCAGAATGTCCACACCTGTCCAAATAAATTCAACCAAAATGTCAGATTACAAAAAAGTGAGCATTGCTAGCAAATACATCCAACGGGCTGTCAAATAAAACCTATTTTACATGAGTTTCCAAACAGCTCACAGAGCTGACCATTTATCTGTCCAATTTATCTGTTTCAGTTTTGTCATTACCAAACATAATGTTACTCATCAAGTGATCATTCTCGATTATTCTCGGACGGTAGTGTCAATTATAACGACAGTGATTATATTTCATTTTTTTAGTTGCATTTTCTATGCTTTCAACAAATTTATTTGTTTTCCTATTAATAAATTTTAACTATTCATAAGATGGAATTCTGCATCGGGGTGATGTAAATCAATGTTAGGTTTGCCCTTCACCGACGTATAAACACTGTATACTCAGTGTGTTAACTCCCGAGGAAAGCTGAAAAAATCACTCGGGTGGGACTCGAACCCACGACCTCAGTCCTGCTTTCTAGTGCAGATGTCTTACAACTTGACCACCGAGCTTACGGGATTGGTTGGCTAGTTCAAATCTAATGTACATGCAGCAGCGGGTACCACATGCAACTATTCATAAGATGGAATTTTGCGTTGGGGTGATGTTAATCAAAAGTAGGTTTTTAAGTTTTTAATTATTTATTCCAACAAAAACAATTACGTTTTTTTCTTTTTTGTATGTCTAGTCTGCAACCCTCTGAATAAAAAAAAAAAAGGTTTTTGTTTTGGGGCACAAACAGATCAGCTTTGCCAGCAAACCGACTCCGGGTCTGACATTATCGGTACATTATGCATCATTTTCACTGGGCGACATCAGTTTGTAGCGGGGGTTTATAGTCCCAACAACCGGAGGGACAACTTTATACAACAATTAATTATAACGTCTACATGGGCTAACTTGTCCCAATCCATCTATGCATTATGCCTGTTCGAAAATGTTAATAAAAGATACTGATTGTTGGACGGTAGGAACCATCAGCCTACTACGTCTTTAAAGGCTTATTTTGATACGAGTACCAATTTTGGTAGGAAATACTTAGAATTTTTTTTTTTTGACTCTCCATAGACTTCGTACACGGAAAGATTTCCATATACAAAGTTCACTAATTTTCCTCTGTATTGACTAACAGGCCCCCAGATAGCAATTTAATGTCATCAAAGTCAATTTGAGCAGTGAGAAAATACAACGTTTTCTTAGAAAGCACTTCGAATTTTTCAGTCCAATCTCATAGGGTTTGTACACAGGGTGTTGAGTGAACTTCGTATATGGAAATCTTTCCTTCGTACACAACCAATGAAGTACAGTTCTGGAATTGGCACGCGGTCAGCAAGAACGTGAATGAATATCACTATCAGAATAATATATGGCATGTATGGTGCTACTACAACAAGGAAATTGTCAGGATTTTTCCGTAATGTTGTCTGCATACTTTACGCCGGAAAGAATGCTGCAACCGGCCTGACGTGCGCCACTTCAGCGGTTGTGTACAAAGTCTATGGAGAGTCAAGATTTAAGTCCAACAATAACATAAAATTAAAATTGGAAATGTTTCTCAGTCCAAGATTCATGCCTTATTTTTTGCAGTGACTGTGGCGTCAGGTTGCAACATTCTTTCCTTTACTCCTTCCAGCTAATTAGAGCATTACCTTTTAGAAAACAACTAAGCAGCACATGGAGGAATAAATGGCAGCGCAGCTAGCAGCTCAGACATCAATTTGACATTGGCACAGCTCAATGTTTTGCTGTCTTGTCAATTGTTACCTTTGACCCAGGTCAAAGGTCAACAAGTGCATTAATCAGCTCTCCCGCGCACCGTACCGGTGTTGACCAAAGATCCCAGGCACCCAAAAATAGGGTTTGCTTTTCAGCAGTTTTCCAAATATAAACAAACGGTAATTTGCCCGCCCAAAAGAAAATTATGTGAGTGCTCACCTGCAACAAATTCCTTTTTAAGACTTTATTCACGTCTTAGTTTTTGTGATTTCCCATCTGCTGCTTATTCAGTAATTCATAATGTCGCGTTTTCCTATTCTGTCGTTCTAAGTCATTTGAACAGAACTGAAACGAACAAATTGAGCAGATTACCCTATCTTATTTTTGTTACCGGTACTCCGGTGCAATATTTGGATAATAATATTCATTTTAAATACTGCATTTTGCAACAACCCCTTAAAAAATCCCTGGAAAAAATCGCTCATTTTTATTGAAAAAGAAATAGAAAAGGTTACGCAATTTCAGTTAATTGGATTATGTTATGAATTCACTTATTTGCTTGTTGTCAGATTTCCACAAAGTGCAGCAGGAACAGGTGTAATTGATTGCCCAACACACGGATCACAGGTTGACACACCCCAAGGTCACTTCCTTTCCCTGATTGGTTATATTCCCACCACTCACGCGTCAGCTTACCGCTAATAAAGTCACGTTTGTTACTAACCGCATTCCTATTGGTTAAAAGTCAGGACGTGATGAATAAACATGAGACGGTCAATTACGCAGTATGTCATCAATCACGCCAGCACACACTGTAAAACAATATTGATGAAGACGGTCGATAAAACAATGCGCACGTCTTGACACTGCCAACAGAAATTGTTAAAGAAAAGAAAAAAACATCAAGGATATGATAACCCGGAGCAAATGCTTGTCATTTTTCAGTTGGCGCGCAATCATGGCGCATCTGAACGTGTGGTTTATTTTGCTTCTACTCGCTACAGCAGATCGGGGAAGATATCGACGTAGGAATGGCAGGAGACGAGGGGGCGGAATGGGAACGGTGCAGGGCAGCTCGACCGAGGGGGTAACATCACCCGATGATCCTGAAAGCGATGCAGAAGTTGGGAATGCTACTTGTAGAAATAAACTACCCTCCGGTAAGACACGTATTGAAGATAAAACGGTCGAAACCGGCCTAATTAACAAAATCAGTTCGATTGGGTCGCTCTTCTTTTAAAGCGCAGATCTAAATTGTGGCGCCCAAAACAAAGAAACGAACAGACGTTTTTTAAAGCTGCTCTTGATCTCCGTACCCCATGCTATTGTCGAGTTTTAAACCAGAGAATTATTTTTCTACTTACAGTATGTAATATGTTTCTAACAATACAGGTTTTCAATTTAGGATATAAAATACTTTGCAAATTTCGATTGTTTGTGGCACTACAATATCGCGGACGGAACTTTTTGAGAGTTAAGGGCGATAAGTTAAGTATGTGCAAAAAAAATAAATAATAATAAAACACTTCGGGGGGGGGGGGGGGGAACGCAGACACCCAAAACAGAAAAAGGTAGCTTTTTGTTCGTTAAAAGAAAACTGAAAATTAAAAAGTTGTTTGGATTAAAAAAAAACCTCAACTTTATTTAAGAACAGGAGAGCAACTTTAAAACATTTGTTTTTAACGTCACATAACAAAATTCAATCGGTTTTTGCTTTTCTTTTTGATTGAGGACTTCCTTTTCATATCTACTCCAGGCTTATTTGTACAGCTGAAGGAAAAAAAGTGTTTTCCTTCAGGTTTGTTATTCCTTATATCGCATTTTTCTTTAATACAAAACTTATTATTACTAACAGCTGTAGTCCCATGGATGGTTATTAACTGATTCTACCAATAAATTTCAGGAAACACATGGTTAAATATATACCCAATGACACAGCTCTTTCACAAACTTTTTTTTTCTTCTTTAATTCTACAAAATAATGTCTACATTTCTCACAATCCTTGCCCTTTAAGAGAAGCATTTACAGCTGTTTCCACATAATATTTGCCAAAGTTCTCGATGTACCACTTATATGCAGTCAATTCAGTCCAAACACTCATGGCGTGTTCAACATCATTTCTAGAAATGAAAATCAGTGGAACTAACGTTAGGGGGTTTGGACAGGTGTTGTGGAGGGTAACATGGATGGAGAGAGAGGCATATTTGCAGAGGAGAACCGAGTCAAGAGAGAAACACTCAAGGGGAAATGTCTCCATGGAAACTCAGTATTTATGTCAATTTTGTTAATTCGCTGGTGTTTACTGTGAAACAAAACCTCTCTCTATGCGTGTCTGTGTATCGGCACCTGCCACTTTTATAAAGAGGGAATTAATATAGTCTTTGAAAGATTGTTGATTTGAGGGATGCGCTCTGAAACTACTACAGGGTGTCCTGAAAAAAATGGCGTATGTAAACCCCTCCATTTTTGCTAATTTACAGCCTTTTGTAAATCCAAAGATATGTTTGAATAACGGCAAAGCCAAGAAACCCATTTTGTGCCACTTTCTGTAAAGCAGTCAAATCAGTATAGTCCTAGTCTAAAACCAAATCACTTTACTGTTAGTGATTTTAACATTTTTAAGCAGAGTGTACAATATTTATTTATATTTAATTGAACTCTTTCATTGAAGTTTTAAAGAAGTAAACCTGTCTGTACTATTGAATTGTTTCTACATAAGAACAAAACCCTATATTGTCGTGTGAATGGAATGTTTGTCTTACACCCATAGGGATAATCTTATCAAAAAAGCCATACTGGCACTGTCTGATCTTTGAAGCACTGGCTTCCTAAAAGTGGCATAGAATGTTTTTTTTTGGCTTTGCGGTTATTCAAACATATCTCTGAATTTACAAAAATAATCTTAATTAAACAAACGGTATTCTCAAGCTAAATCTGTAACCTTGAAGATCGTGTAAACATTTGCAAAAATTCCAGTTGTAAATTGGCAAAAATGGCGGGGTTTACATGCACCATTATTTTCAGGACACCCTGTATAACAATTTTAAAAAATGCTTATCTTTAAGCACCATATACAATTTTGCAGAGCGTCTTGATCACAAGAAAGTGTCTCTTCAATCTGTAGACGATTAAATTAGTTTCAATTCTTCGGGGTAGAGTATCCTGATGCTAATTCGTATATTGTTTGGGTACGAAATCTTCCGATATAGCAAATAAAGAAACACTGTTGTTTGGAAGACCAATTGCAGGCCAAACGGGAGTTACGTTTTTGGGGGAGGGTGTTACAACATTTAACTTTCTTTCGTAATGAATTCTAAAATGAACAGTTTAAAACACCTGAAAGTCTAGTCTAATAATATTAAATATTTACAATTATATCAAAAGTACGTAGAAGGGTAATATTTAACAAAAACATAATAAATTTTAGTTTCAAAATCAAAATAAAAAACATCAAGCTGTCAAACTCACTGATGTGAACTATGAAGAACATGAAAATATTCACAAACAATGTTTTTTTCAGAACTAAGCATTACCTTTGAAAAATGTAAATCAATTGGTGAAAATAGAGACAAAACATCATAACAATAAATGCCTGGTAACCCTCGATGGAAGTGGATTGCTCGACACCCCCCTCCTTTTTTTTCCCGAGCTAAGGGCCACCCCCAGTCTCCCACCCACATAATTCACCCCCCATGGATCCAAGGTTAACCATGATTGTTAGTATCGGCAGCCTGGGCCCATTCCAACCACCTGCTACATCAAGTAATTACAGGACCTTATTAGGTGACTGGTTTCACAATACACAGTCAAATATCAATGAATTTTAATATCAGTCTATCCTGCTGGTTGCTTAAGCAGCTTTCACCCCAAACAACACATCACACTTTCAAATTAATATTCTTGGCTAGAATGGGTGATTTTAAACACAACTGGATTTTTAAATCAATACTATACTGACATCATTCTTCATTACGTATATGTTGCCATGATAACTGTGTCAGTTTTTTGGGGTCCTGTATCAGAAAAGATCAATACAAAATAATGATTTATTTAAAGAGTATGCAATTTTTCGTTCATGAAATATATATTAGAAGGTGTTTAACTACGAGGAAATATTTAAGGAAATAGCAACTTCCAATAAAAAGGGAGAGAACCAATGTATCTTTTTTTTTTTTATAAAATCAATGATTTGTGTCCCCTTTTTTGGGCTGGAATATTTTGGACTTTTTAAAGTTACCAACACAACACCTATAAATGTTTTAAAAGCAGCAAATGAGTATTCTGTAACATTTTCATGGGTTGAGTTTCTTCTAAAGTAGTTGCAACTCTACCAGGCCTATACACTACATCTCATCATAAATGGTGTAAATCAGTGTCAACAGGCCTACAGTATTTAGCAATATGTTTTCGTAACAACAATGTATATTTCATTGTCATGTTTCAAATTCAAATAAATAGTTATTATAGACCCTTTTATCTAAATATGTGGCAACACCAGGATTTCCTTAAAGGGAAAATACAACATTTGCAAACATCGAAAAATAAAACTACCAAGTTTTTACGAAATACACAACAGGATGTTGGTAAATGACAGTCTAAAGCATCCTGTAAAATTATGGCACCTGGTGTGAAGTCACTTTCAAGAAAATGGTAATTTTGTATACATTTCCAACTATTTTTCAACTACTGCTCCAAATGTACCATTTTTTTTTCAGTCCAAATTTTGTTTGCTATTGGTTGCATGTTCTGAATGGGTGCAGGCCAGCTAGACTGGTTCCCTTATCGTACAATTTCCCGGCATCTATAAATTAATCCATTTAATCTTCAGTGGAGTCAGGGAACCAGACTACTCGAACATTTTTGTTTTTCTTAGTTTTTCCAGCATTTTCCAACACAAAACTTCAAACATGTCAGTGTAACAATAATTTGATATATATACTAACCCCTCAAATAGTTCATTTCTGAAAATTAAAGCAAATGCCAATGATGTACATTCCCTTTAATCAATTTATGAGAGCTGATAATTTTTTTTCTCTTTGTTTTCTCTTAGTGAATCACACCAGGATTTATGAGCTGATCTCGTCAAACGCGATAGACCTGGACCCATTTGCATTTCCACTTCACCTAAACGGTTCATACTCCAGAGTAGCAGCAATCCGAACTGATGTTTGTCCTGGCAATGTTACCTCATGTTTCCATGGTTTCACCATCTCTATGTGGCTGCTTGCCAACGATACGTCAGTCACTGATGAGGGTGTGTACTACCTCTCTAGCGGAGCTCAGAGAACGGAGTCCTGTGGGTTCTACTTTCGTCTTGATTCAGTGAACTCTGACCCCAATGGGTCAAGGGTCGGTGTCTTTGACATTGCCGTGGCAACCGCAGATACTCTGTGGAAAGTGCGTTACCAGGCCAGAATGTCAGTGAAGTCACATGTCATGATGTCATGGGGACCCGACGTCAGGTTGGATGTGTACATTGATGGTATCTGCGCTGGTAACCCTGACACCGATGAAGGATACCAGCGTTATCCATTGACCTCATGCTCAGACGATCCATTCCAAGATTTGTACATCGGTGGAAGGAATGACTTGGCTAGTGGCGGGTTTGCTGTGGCTGACGTTGGAGAACTTATCATCTGGGATGCTTGGAAGAACCCCATTGACGTCTACAATCTTGAACAAGAAGGTAAGTCTGTTGGAAGACAAAACAAATACGAGCTTAACCTTTTATTTGTAAAATCATGTTTGATTCCAATCATCGTAATTTCAACATGTTTTATGCTTAACCATTCCTGAGAAAAAAAAAATCCACAAAAAAAACAAGACAGCCTCAAAACTCCAAATCCTGACAAATTGGTATGTCCCACCAATCAATTCATTCCATGGAATTGGTTCACACACAACAAATCCCAAAACAGGATTGCTAAAAATTCGAACATTAGAACTGAATTTATGTTGTATAAAAAACTTGTCCCTTTCAGACTTTCAGCCTAATAATTACATTACTTTCTACATAAAGTTTCCATAACTATTACCAAGCAAACTGAATGTTAAATTTCTTTTGCTCCGAATTCCACAGGAGTGCTACATGCCTACTATGAGACCTGTGTGTCATTGGGATTTCTGTCCACCTCACTGCTACCTCCAACTCAATCAAATTTCTCTGATGGTTCACATCCACCACTGCCTTGGCAATGCAGAGCAGCGTGTGATGGGAATGGATTCAAATATGCCGCAATCGGTGGGGATGGTCCGCAATGCTACTGCATTGCTAACTACACATACATGGAATCAGATCCTGAAGGGTCCTGTAATGTCTGCCCAGGTTACACTGGAATTACTTGCGGAAGTTCTGATAGCCTGAGTTTGTATCACCTGCCATCATTCCTACAACAAATTCCTGCTCAAGAGACTATCCAAGGCTTGTCTGTCGGTTTAGACGGGGTCCAGTCAGATGAGGGTAATTACTCAGTAACGACGCAGACAAATATCAATATTAGTTTCTATGTCAGCATGGGTGAAGATGTCCTGTATTCCATCTCTGGAGACAACCGTTTAGCTGAGGTTCAGACGTTTGAAGCATCCACCTATTTGCTATTCCCTGAGGCTGGTTTGTATCACCTGACTGTCATAGCAACCAATCAGATCAGTCATTTAGAGAGGGAATTATGGGTAACAGCTAAAGAAAATCCAGTGCAGTTGGGTGTCCCTTTTGTTGAAATCTATGCAGATCTGCTAGCTGGTATGTCTGAACTGGTGCATGTCTGGGTAGTGATAGCCAATGGGAGTCCTGATATGTCTTGTAGTCTTGACTTTGGTGATGGCAAGATCGAACCCATCCTTGGTAATCAGTCTAGTCATGGTCTCACTCATAGATATGACAGCTCTGGTGTGTTTCTCATCACAGTCAGCTGTGAAGGACCAGACTTGCGATCTATGAATGCCTCAGCTACGATAGTAATACAGGAACGCATCACCATCACTCTAAATACAACATTTAGAGTGATCAAGGGTGAGAATCTGACAATTCCATTCCAAATCTCCGGCACTAACATCACCGATCTTAAAGTTCTGCTGGATGGTGTATCCTCCTTTTCAAACTTCACATGCTCAGAGAATTTCTCTTGTGAGGGGTTCCTAGGAAAAAGTTCCACAAACATTCTAGGAACTCATGTCTTCGAGGTCCGTGCTTCTAATCTCATCAGTGGTCAAGTTACTTCAAGAGCTGACGTCTACATCGGAGTCCCAATAAGCAATATTTCATATCAAATCAACAGCACTGTTGCAATACCATATGAAGGGATCCAACTAACAGCAAATGTGACCAGGGGTACACTTGTCTATTTTCACTTTGACTTTGATGGAAACTCAACGGTCCTTAATTGTTTCATGGCCCCATGTGTAGTCTCTCACACACAAGGCTTTCCAGAGGCAGGGGTTTACAACATTTCAGTCGAGGTCTCCAATGACTTTACCGTCTTTACAAGTGAGATCTACTCAGTGGGTGTTTTCAACCCTGTCCCAGCATTGAGTGTAGATGTAACCAACTCTAGCTCCATAAGTGACCCTGTTGAGCTACGTATCTACCCTCAATCAAATACGTCCCTGTGGCCGACAGAAGCAAAGGTGGTTTTCTCCGTCGCTGGTTTTCAAAATCAAATTGAGCAACATTTTGTGCCGTCATCCCCCGTAGATGCTGTTGGCATGTTCTTCCTCACTCTACCAGTGTACGGTATTTTTGATGTAGCTGTCAATGTCTCCAATGCAGTGAATTTCATGATGGTACATGTCCCGATTCAGATAGGGCAGGAAATCCAAGGATTCTATGCTCGACTCCTGTCTTCAATGCATGCAACAGGTGAGAATGTGGATTTGGAGTTTGGCTTCACAGCCGGAAGCGACATTGTTTTTGAAGTGGATTTTGGAGATGGCAGCCACGAGACTCATCAACTCATCAACTCATCAACCATTTATCATAAATATAACAGTTCTGGCGAATACATCATTACTGTTAGAGCTCACAATGACTTTGGGGATCAAGTCAGGCAGTTGTCTGTGAGAATCATCAATCCAATTAATGGATTGAGGATGGACACCAGTGGCAATGACATGGTAACTGGGGAACCAGTTCAGTTTGTATTCTACCTAGAGAAGGGAGCAGTGATACCGCAAACAGTTCACTGTTCTGTAGATTACGGTGATGGTAGCGATATTGATTCTTGGGATAGTGTTCTATCAGACGGTAACATCACCATTGAGCATACATACAGTACTTCTGGGTCTCATCAAGTCCAAGCAAACTGTTCAAATGAGGTTAGCCAGGTTGACCTAACAGTCAATGTCACTCTCTACACCCATACTGCTGGATGCATTGTCAATGTCAGTACAGTGGTTGCTGCAACCAATGCAACAGTGCAGTATCTCACTACAGTTGGTGATGGATCTGACATCAATTTGCTCATCCAGTTTGGTGACGGGACAAACATGTCCACTCACATTGACACAGTGGGATTCATGGTATTTGAGCATGTCTACCATCATGCAGGCTCTTACACAGCTCACCTGAAAGCTTCTAATCCTATCAGTGACTGCGAAGCATCTGGCGGTCCCGTAACCATCCAGGTTCCAATCCGTACAGACAGCTACAATCTCACGATCATCCCAAGCACAATAGATGTAGCAAACCAAACGACAGTGTTTGCTATTACTTTGATGGATGAAATGCCATTACCAACAAACGTTACAGCATCTTGGACTTTTGGGGATGGAAATTCATCCTCACAAATACTCCTTTTGGGTAGAAAATTGAACGTTTCACACATATTTGAAGAAACTGGGGAGTATGAGGTTTCAGTGCATCTTTCCAATATGGTCAGTGAATTGGACTTGAATGACACAGTGGTGGTTCTTGAGCGGATTGACGATGTCGACTACAACATCAGTACTGCAGCTGCAGTTGGTGACAATCTGACTCTCTCCATTCTAGCTTCATCAGGGACTTCTCTGTCATACAATATTGACTTTGGAGATGGAACTGTGGTCACATCGTTTCAAGACAAGCCGGAAATTCTAAAATTTGCGCACTCCTATAAACAAGTTGGAAAGTACGTCCTGACAATAAGAGTGGAGAATGGACTAGGTGGGATTGTGCTTAACCATACAAAGATCCGCGTGGTCTATCCTGTCCAGGGCCTGAACTTTGAAACCACTAGTGAGGTGATCTACAGTCCTGGAAACATCACGTTCAGTTTGACCATCGATCAGGAGGTACCGCCACCCACTGTCATGGAATGTGTTTGGCGGAAAAAACCCACTACACTAGGCCTTGGCCCTGATGTACTGTGGAGAAAGAAGAATGTAAGCCTTGATTCTGGTGAGAGTCTGAATGTGACTCATTATTTCCCTGGTGGTCAGTTTGTCGTCAGCTTGCAGTGCAAGAATATTCTGGGCGGTCTTACCCTGGAGAAATTGATTACCGTTTTTGAGGATGTTACACATTTGAAGATCTTCCCGGAAAATTTGGTTGCTGAGGTTGGATCTCAAGTGTTGATTACCATCACTGCCTCTCAGGGCTCACTGCTGAATTATGCTGTACAATACGGTGACGGTACGACAGAAACAAGATATGTTGTAATGTCAACAAGCACAAAGATTCAAGAATTTCAGCATGCATACACTCAACCTGGACTGTTCACTCCTTCTGTAACTGCTGAGAATATCTTAGGACAGTCTCATGTCACTTCCAATGCCAGTATTGAGGTACTGCACAGCACTCGTGGATTTCACTTATTGTCCAATAGCCCAAGGACATTTCCTGATCTTATGGTGATATTTCAACTGGTCACGATGCAAGGTACCACCCCTCCAACTACAGTCAACCTTGCGTGGAACTTTGGAGACGGAAGTGTTCACTATGAGACAGTACAGTTCAATATGACCCAAGGCATCAATCATACTCACTCTTACAACAATTCAGGAACTTACCACGCTGAGGTAACTGTCACCAACAATCTTGACTCTCACATGTTTGAGACAAGTGTCATTATCAATAAAGAAGCTGCACCTATACAAGTCAGATTTGAATACCAAAACACAGATGGCATTTGGACAGCTGGTTTAGGACATGACTTTAATTGGTTTGCTAGTGATTCAGTAATCAGAATGAGTGCTAACGTAACTTCTAAGGATGCGACTATCATCTGGGATTTTGGTAACGGGGAAACAGCTCCACTTGACATTGTATTCCGTCGATATGAAACCCCCGGTGTGTACAACATCACACTAAAAGTTGAAGGCCACACAGATGAGCCTGTAGAATTGCACTTCATTTTCTACATTGTCCAGCCATTTGAACTGACGTCAATTCAGGCCATGGATGAATCAGGACTGTCAGTTTTGAAGTCAGGCCAACAGGTGGATTTCATATTGAATGGGAATGGTTTAGAAGGTCCAATGTGCATATCATGGGATGTTGGGGATAAGACTCAACAAATTGTCTATGGGCCAGAGTCTTGTGGAATGACACTGCACAATGACATCATCTTTGTCCAATCAAATCAAGACGATGGTCTACAGGTCTCACACACCTACACATCTCCGGGTTATTATACTGTCCATGTGTCTGTATCTAACTTCTTCACTACTGCATCCATGTCAAGTGAAATCACCGTCATGGGATGCTGGAATCCACCTGATGTGTCCATCAAGGGTCCGGGGGAGACGATAGATGCACCGCAGTCTCACAGGACATCAGAAACTATCCTCATCGACTCAGTCACCACATTTGATTGTATTGGTGTTGGCTTAACAACCTTCACCTGGGAAGTCTATAAACTCATCCTTGATGACGTTCAGAACACAACGCAGAGAGTGATGTACGATGTGCCGTCTGTGAATGGCCCACAGTTGCAGCTAATGCCAGGTTCGCTTGACGTTGGCCTGTACGAAATCACTCTAACTGTCACAGTAGAAGGTTTGGACAATGCAACTGGTATGGACAAAGTCTACATCAGGATCAATCACTCTCCACTTGTCTTGGTTCTGGAAGGTGGAAGCAGTAGATCAGTGGGTAATGTCCAACCATTGGTCCTTGATGCGATGACATCATCATACGACCCTGACAACGTAGCAGGAAACTCCTCTGATTGGTCCTTTGAGTGGACATGCAAAAAACTTTCTGAACGTAGCGAGAATAATTCCATGACCACAAATGTACCCTTTGCTAGCACTGATTACCTGTGTGAGAACAGCTCCTGGGAAAGACTCAACTTCACATCTGGTGTACTTCATCTGAATCCGTTGCAACTCAGGGTGGGTGCTCTGTATGCATTCAAGGTTGACACAGCCATTGGATCCAGACTTGCATCCTACCAGCAAACCATCCAGGTCATGCAAGGGGAACCCCCGGTTGTATCTATAAGGCAAGTACACATTTCATTCAGTTTTAATTACAAGTCTTCAATCCAAAAAATAAATAAAAAATATCTAGTCTCTATTGTATTTGGGCATTTTTGGTGTAAGTTGATTGAATTCCAAATTCTACGAGGTCCTGTTTTATTCAACTCTCAAATGCACTATATTTGTATACTTTGTCCATGGGCTACAAATTGTGGCATGTGTCCTGCCGAGGAGAGCTAAGGATGCACATAACACTTTCACGCATTGGTTCACAAGGCATGTGTAATGCACAGACTTTCAAGTGTGATGCGTACAGCCTCAGCTTCATGTGAAATGTAAACACTAAACCATGGCCATGTGACAGCTCATCGTCTTTTTTTCACCAAAGTAACATTCTTTTGGTAATTTGATGTCTTTCTTGCACAATACAGGTGCGTCTCCAACTGTCGCGATAAAACCAACCCGACATCTTCCTTCACACTGCAAGGGAGTTGTGACAATTGTGACATTCACAGCGAGTCAATGTTTACATGGTCACTCTACATCAAGCAGAAAGGAACTCAGGTGTATCAGGAAGTCAGTAACCTTGGCGATAAGACATCAACTGGTACGTCTCCATCTTATATATTGCAGTTGCATATCAACCATTAGATTTTCAAATGCAACTCATAAAATAATTTTCATAACTATTGAGAATTTAAACTATTTGATCAATTGATCAATTTCAATTTGTAGTATTTTGTACACAAAATTTGATTTAAAATTAATGGTTATTTTTTCACTCTCAGATTAACCTGATTATCTTATGTTATAGTCTGACGATTTCCATGTTTACTTTGTAGTACACTTTGCTCACTAATTCAAACATCATAAATCATAAAAAGTGAATCTGTGTCATTCAACACATTAACCAAAAAATAATACAAGGACTAAATAAAAATTGTTTTATTTTGAATGTTAAAGGTGTATCAAAGCAAGGTATTGCCTTCAATCCAAACCAACTGGATGCGGGGAATGAATACAATCTTCGTCTTGATGTGAAGGATGCGTTGCTAGGCAACGGTTTCATACAGCACTCTTTCCTTACCAACCTTCCTCCATATAATGGCTCATGCCAAATCACTCCATCAGAAGGTAAGATTCATATTGAACTTTTTATTATATTAACAACCATTTGAAGTCAGCCTTTGAATTCTGAGATGTTTTTCTTTGAGGTGTGTTTGTCCAGGAGCTTTGCAAAAGTCATTCAGTTCTTGTACTGACAACAATAAATAAAATGACAAAAACAACACAAGTTGTCCAATTCTCATCACATCACTACAGGGTATGCCGTCACCACAGAGTTTAGTGTGAACTGCACTGGTTGGCTAGAAGAAGGCTATGCCGTTGATCGTGCCTCTATCTCCCAAGATCTTGCTGCTACGCAAGTCCTCCAGTACCACGTCTTGAGCAGACCCATGGGACAGACAAGTTTCTCACTCAAGACATCGACCACGGACAGCTCCATCTCGGGTATTCTCTTTGGGGTTGGTACTGAGGAATTCAGCTTCCAAAACGTGGTGCGAGTTGAAGTAGTGGACGTGTACGGAGCAGCTGCCTACGTTGAGATGACGATCACGGTACGAAGATTGTTTTCATTGCGAAAGATGAAAAGGTTGGGCATGCCGGTGCCAAAAACTAATATGCATGTGGGATTGCCATCATCATGAAGCGCGGTAACATAGCCAGGGTTAGGATCTTATTCCCACAGGAGGTACTCCTTAAATGTTCCAATTGGGGGAATGTACATGTATTGTTTCATATGACTGACTGAATAATGCAAAATAACCATTATACACTGAATATAGTTAATTTGTAATGCTGGCCAGATACATGATCTATCAATATTTTGAAGGATCTAAAATTAGTATGGTGTCAGTGTGTATTGTATTTTCTCATATCCTACCTTATTTGTAACAGGTCAGGAAACCAGACTTGTCAGCTGATGACATCACATCTCTAGTCAGTTCCAATGGTAGTAAGCTGTCTCTTCTGATATCATCTGGTAACGTAGAGGGCGCTACTCAACTGATATCGGCTGTCCTGACAATTCTACAGGTCAAGTATCAATCAAATAATACAAGCAAAAGTTGTAAACAGTCACTGAAAGTCAAAAGATCAGGGCCCAATTTCATAACAATCACCATTTTGTGCTAGCAGTGGTAACTGAAGTCTGCGCTAACCCTGTAAGCACAGAATCATTAGTTACGGGATGTACACACACTAAAGCAAAATTTCCTTGATAACCCATGAAATATGCTTACCGTAAACAGGGGATTTTCTGTTACAGTAAGCAAGGATTTTGCTACCGATAAGCAGAGCCATGAAACTGGGCACTGGTCACAAGTTCAGTCACAAGCTACTCCAGTTTTGATAAGCTTTATCGTTCAACATTCAATTACTTAGATCAACACCTGTTACATGTGAACTCATGTGCACTTGTGATCAGAATGTGATTTAAACAAACTACTCAAACTGCTTGTCAGCAAAGCGAGTAAAATTCTTCTGATCATTTTACCAAAGTCACATTTGCATGGGGTGATTTTGTCTGTTCTGGATAAATGTATTTCCTTTAAAAATTCATAGCTGTGTCATACAACTCTTATCTTAGTTAGATATTTTTGTATCACATGATTTTTCTTCCTGTTTTTTTTTCAGGATGACAACACCACAATGACACCTGAAGACGTAACAGAGGTAGGAGGAGGAAATGTGATTGCACTCATCTTATCTTAATTGACGCCTTTCCTTTTTCATTTGAAACCAAGAAAGTCAAATATGAAATGGCGTTGGGTTTCACTGAGGCACTTCAGTTTTCTATATACTTCTATTCTTCCAGATACGCTCCAATCTGGTGCTTGAGTTAGGGAAGATTTCCTTGTGGGCTAAGACAGCCGAGGCTTTGCTTCAAGCATCTTCTGTCATGTCTCAGAGTCTTACTGGAGGTGTCAATGATAATGCTTTGGTGAGTAAAGTTTTGTCAAAAATGCATACAGGAATTAGTAGAGACACAGCATTGTTGTTCTTGTATTTTTCAATTCCACCGAAATACTGCATGCTTCAGTGTTTTTATGGACTGACACACAAACATAAATATTCTAGGATCTGTTGAGGGGAAGAAATTTGTGTTTTTTTTCTGATCAGATTGACGCTGCAGCTACAATGGTCAGGATGGCAATGAGTTTGGAAAGCGTAGACACAGATAACCCGGAAATTGTCATAGAAACAGCCGAAGGTACGTACTTATCAGAATCAGGCTTTATTGTTTTAGTTTTTCACATGTGTTCCACGTTATTGCATACTCTCACCGTCAAGGAGCAATTTCAACTGCTCGATCAGTTTTATTTTAACAATTTCAGCTGACACACCTGTTGGGGCATTTAGGGAAGTCATGAGTTGCTTAACAATGATGAAGATGTTTAGTTTTATAGGACTATCTCTTCATTTAAGTTGAATACAAACAAAACCATTATGTACATTAATTATCAAGGGAGTTCCTTTATCATGGGAATTTTCCATTTCCAAAAATTACAGAAATACTGTGATATAATTGAGTCACAGTTTGATGGGAAAGGTTTAGATTTCAAGAAAAACTCACATGCAGTTGTGAAAACTCAAAAATATGTTTACCTGTTGCTTGACTAGGACTCACTGGAGGACTAGGAAGTCTCATTGCCCAATCAGATGGAATCGTTCAAAATGCTATGGGAACCAGTGAAGCTTCCATGTACACCACTACGCCTTCATCACTAGGGACCAGGGAACCAGTCATCTTTGATGTCTATGGCGATGACCTTTCACCTGAGGAGATTGCTGAACAAGCTGCAAGTGAAAAGGAGGAAAGCGAGAGAAATGAGGAGAATGCACGCACAGTGGTGGGTAGGGTGAGGGTGAGGGTAGGGGATCAGGTAGGAGGTGGGGCACAGTGGTGGGTAGGGGTGCTTCTGCTTAATACTATGCAATCACCTCTATCTGGCGGTTATCATACATATTATGTGGGTAGGGGATTGGGGTAGGAGCAGGGTAGGAAGAGAGGTGGGGGTAAGGGTGGAGATATTAGAAGAGGTAAAGCAGACGTTGGGGGTAGTTGGGAGAAGATGAAAGCAAATGTAGATGATGGTGGTGGTGATGTTGAGATGATGGTGCATGAGGATGATGGTGACTGTGATGATGAGATAACTATAACGATGCACTGAGGATGATAGTGATGATTATGGTGGTGATATTTGAGGTGGTGATGGTGGTGATATTTCATAACATTGACAAGAACTAATGTTGACATTGATGAAATAATAGTGATAAGGATGCCAGTCATGCCAAGGACTGCAGGATTCCAATGACAAGCTTACTGATTTCACATTGTCTTCTGAAATCAAACAGGCCTTGACTATCAGCATGCTAGCACAGGAAACACTTGACCTGGTGTCTGGCGTGGTCATAGGTCAACGTGTGACAGGTCAACCTCCAGTCACGCTAGTCACAGATGAACTCACTCTAGAAGTCTACAAAGATGAACCCAACTCCGTGGCTGACAGAGTCATCACTGCAGACGCTGGATCCTTCCATCTACCTAATGCCAGCTCACTGTTTGGAACAAGTGGAGCAAAACACGTCGAACAAATAGTGAGTTTGAGTAACTATTTCTCAGAACTTGACTCAGGTGAAGGGTGATTTACGATCACACCATCCCAAAACAAACATCTATGAAACGTCGTTTATTGTCTCCTGCTACAGTGGATTTGAATCAATCAAGCAACCCTAGCAAACTGAGTAAACAAGTTGTTAAGACAACTGCATTAGAAAGCAACAGGTTGTGGGTTCGAGTCCCACATGAGTCAGCTTGTGGAGTTTTTAACAAAAGTTCCTGAAGGCAAACCGTTTTATAGGTTCACTTGCACCGATGCAAAATTCTGTCAGTTGTCAAAGAATGTTTTAACATTTGATAGTAGATGACTGTAAGAGTAATTGTTGGATTTTTTCCTTCACTTTTTACAGATCTATTCCTTCAACGCAAACCCCTACAGCTTTTCCAAGAGCTCAGACAGTATAGGTTCCAAGGGGGTACTCACCCTAGAGTTTAAGACGGGACAAGGGGAGCCACTCTCGGTGCAGAACCTGACAGATATGATCAGTATCACCTTAGACGTTGATGACAGCAAAGTAACGAGTGCTGAGACAGTCCAGATGAGGTTTACGAATGTATCCACAATGCAGTATCACAAGGTGACAAATATCCTCCGACTTGATCCTAAATTAAAAAAAGAAAACAAAACAAATATTGTAAAGCACTGGCCTAGCCACGGCACAATTTGAGTCAGTTACCTTAATTTATAAACTAAATGTAATACTATTTGTCCATTTTTTGAAAGTTCCAAAATTTAACAAATGTGAATATTTAAGTCTATTTGTAAGTCCTTTCAACACAGCAAGGCCAATTTGGTTAAAAGTATTATTACAAGGAGGCTGAATGGGAATCAAAATGGAACAAAACTTTGAACCGATCAAGTTTCTGAACAAAACAGCTGTTACGTTTACGACTGTTCAACCCATATTTTTGATGACCAATCCTGCACCTGTTGTTCTGGTTATAGTTATCTAATATATATGACAAAAATTAATAGATACTGAGTTATAAATCGTTGACAGGTGGAAATACAAGAGAAAGATATCCAACTGAGAGTCATCTTCAAGGAAATATCTGACAACAGGACCAACTTTCATGTCTATCTGAGGAAGGGAGGTCATCCTGACACCTTAACATACGATGCGCTCACAGAAATACCCAGATGTCTTGGCAACGATGAAACATGGAGTGATGAGAGACTGGAAACAGAGGCTAGACACACTGCAGTATTTGCTGAAGAGTTACTGACTGGTGTGGGAGACTACTACTTGGGCATTAGCCTAGCAGGTCATTCTTATGTTTTTAATTTCTGAATTTCAAAAATGAATTTCTTTCTTTCAGTTTTCCTAAGCTATTCTGCAAAATATAAGACAGACATTAAATTTTTCAAATGTCATTTTTTTCCTTTTAATTTAATTTGTAGATTCATCCCAAGAATCATCTGATAAAGTGGACGACATGATGAATAAGACAGATGAATTATATGATGTGAACGTAACCATGGTGATATATGCAGCTGGTTGCCGATACTGGGATAGCAACATCACAGCATGGAGTAGTCACGGTTGCCAGGTATGCCCAGTCAGCACTGCATATGGTCTCATCAATGACAAAAAATCATAACGACAGGACAAACCTATTTTAATCCACAGCTTCACCTTATTACCAAACTCTGTTTGTTGTCAGGTTGGGCAACACACCACGACTCATTCCATCCACTGTCTGTGTAACCATCTCTCCTCCTTTGCGTCATCATTCTTCGTTCCCCCAAACACCATCGACTTCTCCACCGTCTTCAGCAAGTTTCTGAATCTTGGAGACAATGCGGCTGTGTTTGCCACGGTGCTTGGATTCTTGGGCTTGTATCTGCTCCTTCTAGTCTGGCTTAGAAGGAAAGATAAACAGGACATCATCAAGGTAACTCTCAGTGTTAAGAAAATCAAAAATTTAGATCTTTCAGGACCTCTGTAGTCTGTTTGCAGCCGATTTCAAGAAACTTCATGCAAGGGTAAGTCCACTCTCGCAACAATTTATTACGCAATTTGCGCAACATTTCATGCTGCGCAACATTTTAGTTATGACAATTTCTCAAAAGTTTTATAGTGCGCAAGTCAGCGAGTTACACAACAAATTATGGCGTTACTTGCGCAATCATTTTAGGTGGCATAAGTTGTGGCGTAGCTACTGAAAATGACCTATTTGACCAGCAAATCATGATCAGGTTTGATACAAGACACTCACAGCTTTGAGTTTGAAGTAAAAGAATCACTATTTTACTTGTAACAAAGTTTTAAGAGTGGTCGCAGGATTACAAAGAAAGTTGGATAAAACTATTTTCAAAATAGCGGGTGTGGGTGATTCAATGACTGTTTTATGAACGAACAAATTCATACACAAACAGCCTTCATAAATGCTGTTATTATCCTCGTCCAAGCTGATATAATTGTTTAAAACCTTGTGCAGCTATGCTAAGTTTTGTGAAATCGATTTCAAGTTTATTGCTGGGCAATAAATTTGTTGTGTTAGTCCTACCAATGGTGTAAGTTTAAACGCACTGTTTTGTGAAATAGGCTGCTGGCACCTTAAAGTATTAAGACGGATTAACTTTAACCGTTGTTCAGTAACAGTAGAGAGCACTTACATATGTTTATTTTATCCATTAATGTTTTTGTTTTTCAGTGGGGAGTGAGTCCCTTAGCAGATAACCATCCCAGCGATATGTACTTCTATCAAATCACAGTGCAGACTGGCATGGGGCCAGGCTGTGGCACAAGGTCAAAGGTCAGTATCATCCTGACTGGAGAGAGTGGGGATAGTGGTGTGCGCTTACTGGACGATGACAAACGAAAGGTAAGTAAAATATTTCATGTCACTGTTGTTTAGATTCTATGACATCTTGTGAACATTAATGTTCTGGCAAGCAGAGTTGCTCATGAGTGTTACATGAAGGTTTACCCATACAATTCTTACAGGTGTTTGAGAGTGGTAGCATCTGTCACTTCTTGATGGGCGTGGCTAGTCCTCTGGGCCCCCTCTCCTACATCAAACTATGGCATGACAACACTGGCCCTGGTCAACTCGCTAGCTGGTATCTGTCACAAGTCTCCATCCTTGATCTGCAAAATGGAAAACAGTAAGTAAACAAGAGAAAAAGAGTATAGGACACAAGGAGAACTAAAAGCTAAATCCCACTGATGCAAAATTGTGCAGTGTAACAATAAAATACAATAGTTTGTTGTTTCAGCAAAGCAATGGACAAATGTGATCATTTTGTGTTTGTTCCTTTAGATACTTCTTTGTCTGTGACCGGTGGCTTGCTGTAGAGAAGGACGACGGAGCAATAGAACGTGTTCTTCCCGTCGCAACTCGCTCTGATCTGACTCAGTTCAGTAAGCTTTTCATCTCAAGTAGCCGGCGCAACCTCTTTGATGATCACATCTGGTTCTCCCTATTCAGTCGACCAACACGGAGCCCATTCACCAGAGTCCAACGTCTGTCTTGCTGTCTGTGTCTGCTCTACCTGAGTATGATCACTAGCGCTATGTTCTACCGCACTGAAGAGACTGTTGAGAATCCCACTGCTTTACGTCTTGGGCCGTTCATCTTCACACTTCAACAAGTCTACATTGGATTCATCAGTGCCTTGATTGTAGTACCAGTTAACATCCTCATTGTCCAGATCTTCAGAAAATCCAAACCCAGCAAATCCCAGCTGACAAGTCAACTCCCTAAACATCTGCAAGAGAAGCTAGACAATCTGAAAGACAGTTCACCATCAGAGGACTCAACGCCACAGAACTCAGTCGTAGACATCAAATCAGACAAAGTGGAACTGGTCCCAATGAAGACATCAACAAAACACAAAGTAAAGGATCAGAGAACAAAAGGCAGGCCATACTTACTACCCCACTGGTGTGTCTACATGGCATGGCTGATCATGATTCTGTCATCATTTACCGCAGCGTTCTTCACTGTATTATACAGCTTAGAATGGGGACAGGAAAAGTCCTGCGAATGGTTGACGTCAATGCTGATATCACTGTTCAACTCTGTGCTCGTAATACAACCATTCAAGGCAGGTTTTCTCAACGTTTCAATTTCCATGCCAGTATTGCTTCATTTCTGTGCAAGTCTGAACTCAGAGAACACGAATAATCTCCTCCCAAATGATTTGTTACCATGTAATATGAGCAATCATTTGTATTCCATCATATTTATTATAATTATCTTCCCTTTATATCCCTAACTGAAATGACTTCCTTTCTACAGGTTGTTGCCGTGGCAATAGTCCTCTCACTCATCTTCAAGAAACCCACCAAGATGGATGTTGAGATAGATTCTGATTTCTGCCGTTATCAGAATCAACTTCAGAATGATGAGGAGCTCTTACATGATTCACAGTCCACAAAACAAAGTAGGAATTTCCCATACGATCAAAATTCTACTCTTAATCTGTTAATCAAGAACACAAAAAGAAACGGTTTCTTCTACTATCACTAAACAGCCCAGTCCATGGAAACAGCAAGGGTCTGTGATATATGAGCAGATTCGGCAATTAATTATGCTAAACAAGACTGTGTCTTGACCTTGAGATTCTGACCATTCAGCGAGCGCCTACTATCAGGTCTTCCATAACCCATTGTATTACAAGAACATAGCAGCCAAATGGACAGATCAACAGCTTAGTCCACATTTCAGATCAAAATGACATCACAATTTCTATCAGACGTTGACTACTGAAAGGGTTCCATTGGACAATGGGTGATACTCAGACTACTAACAGTCTAGCACTGCTGCAAACTGCAATAGAATCAATTTCATGGGACTGTTAAGCACATGTATTGAATTAAATTTGCTTAATTTTTCTTTTTCTCAACCAATTCAAAATCAACTTCTGACTGGTAAATCTCATATGATGACATCTTTCTTGACAGTGAGCTGTCATAAGTACAAAGTACGACTTCCACCGAGCAAAGAAGCACTTGAGGAGGCACGTAAGAAGCGTCTCAAGGAGATTAAGATGAATCGGATGCTGAAGGAGACAGGGATCTATACCATCTTTGTCATCATTGTCCTCTTCTTGTGTTACACCAATCGAGATGACATGTCATTCTACATGTCTCAGTCACTCAGAGATGTTTTCATTGAGAACAACGGGGCCGAGAACTCAGTGAGTTACATCAGATCTGATTGAGATTCCAGGAACATTCAAGAAAACAATGTTGATGTTTAAATCATTACTTCACCATTTTAGTATTTGTTCGACATCAAAATATCCCAGAAAGAAAGTCCATCTTTTGTTTACCAAATTGGATATTGTGGACACGTGTGGCAACTTTCAGCAAAACAGTTCTCTTCTGCACTGCATATTGATTTCTTAAAATGAAAATGGTTTAAAAATCTTGAAATATCTTATTTAATGTAGACCGAATAACATGACAAAGATGCTGCAATTTTTGGGTTTATTTCCAAATGATTCAGCTTATAATTGCAATTGTGCTAACTAACTACTGACTGTGTTACTTTTATTGCTGTTTCTTCACTGTAATACAGAGTGATAAGCTAACATTCCACAGTTTAGAGAAGAGCACACCCGATCTCTTCTGGACATGGGTGGAGACCGCCCTCATTCCTGGTCTCTATGGTAACGCTTATTATAATGGTGTACCGATGCACTGGAGACATACAAGGTTCATTGGTGACTGGCAAGGGTACCGGGTGGGACCGGTGCGACTCAGGCAACTTAGAGTCAAGAACGGTAAGCAAAAAATATTTTTAAAAACAGACGGAATGTGTCCTTTGTCCTGTGATATTAGATTCAATGATTATAAGATATCAGATTGAGCTCACTGAATATTCTATTTTTAAATGCATCTCTTTTAGAACCATGTGCCATTCCTCCAGACATCAGTGTCTTACATCCAAACTGTCATCTGGACTACTCTTGGAGCAACCAAGATGAGAACAATTTCACCGTTGCCTGGCAACCAACGACTGAACATAACTCAAAGCTTTACTCTGACGAGGAAAATGCCCCCTGGATATATCATGATTTTCTTGAGCTGAACGGAGTTCCACATTTCGGAATCCTCGCTGTGTATTCAGGAAGTGGTTATGTGGCTGAATTTGGCACCACATCTGCCAAGGCATTAGAAACTGCTCAATTCCTCAAAGATACCAGCTGGTACGATGAACTAACTCGTGCAATCTTTGTAGAGTTCTCAGTGTACAACGCAAACATCAATTTATTCAGTGTCGCAACTCTACTGGCTGAAACATCGACAACAGGGGGCGCTTTGGTGACATCATACATCCACACCCTGAGACTGTATCATTACGAGGGAACTGTTGCAATATTCACCATCATCTTCCAGGTATGAAAGCCGTTATTGAAATTCATTACCCACGTTTGAAGTCATTTATTCAGCCAAACAATGACACACATCAAAACACACTTTTGGGTAGAAGCAGGTTATTACAATATGTCAATTAGTTTATCAATTAATGACACATTCTTTACTCTTCCAGGTTATGTTTGTGGCTTACCTTCTTTTCTTCATCATCAAGTTGCTTGTATCTCTCAAGAAAGATGGTTTGAAGGAGCTGAAGAATTTCTGGACAGCTATTGAGCTGGTCCTGATATTGGTAGCCATCAGCGCCATTGTCATGTTTGCCTTGCGACAAGTCTTCATTGAGCTGGCACTACAAGAAGTCAAGAATAAAAACCAAGGTTTGTGGAGTTTTCCTGAAATCAAACTTTAAGCAGATTTTACAATGATTCCACAAGTTGTACTTTGAGTTGAAACATTTTCAAAAAATTTGAATCCTTATGCTTTGACCCAAGTTTGATTTGATTTGATTGCAATATCCAACAGGTGAATTTGTCAACTTTAGTCACATCGCCAAATGGGATGAAGTCTTTGGATACCTACTGGCTTGTATTGCGTTCCTGTCTCTCATCCGCTACATGCGTCTACTCCGTCTCAATGCTCGCATGTCTCTCCTTGGGATGACTCTTAGCCACGCATCCAAGGACATCTTCTACTTTGTCATCATGTGGAATCTTGTCTTCTTCGCTTTTGGTCAGTTGTCCTACATCCTCTTCCACAGCATGGTTGAAACATTCTCCTCGTTTGTCTCCACTCTCGAGACGCTCTTCTCCATGCTGCTTGGCAAGTTTGACTTTCACGCCTTGGTGGAAGCAAATCGGATGCTAGGCGGGGCTGTCTTCGTTATCTATATTGTGACTGTGTATATGATCCTAACCAACATGTTTATTACAATTGTGGTGGAGGCTTTCAACCATATGAGACACAAGAGAGAGTTAGATGATGCAGTGGACCCCGAGATGATTGAATACATCGTAGAAAGGTTCAAGGCATTCTTCTTACGTCCCTTACATAGAGGAACTACTGATGTACCACCAATCAAAGGTTAGTTCTACTCCTGTCAATGACTAACTTATATATCTGTACACAAACACCACACTTTAGAAATGTTTGCAATTAAACTGTACTTTGTTTTCCTCATATTCAAGTAACTTAAAACTTATTAGATAAATTATAATCAAGTTACTTAATTGAACTTTAATTGATACTTTTGCTTAAAATAACTTCTAAGGTACTTTAGGAACCTTACAAGCAGATATAGTTTTAATTTTTGAATTTCACTCACCTTCCTTTCACAAATAATTATTTTGGGGAACTTTTCTCGTTTTGTTTAATCAGCCAATGTGACCTACGAAGACACAACAAACTTGCTTGAGAAGCGAGTTGACAAGATCGTCAAGTTTGTAGAGACCAACTACGGGAAACTTGAAATATCCACCAATCAGAATGAGGCTACAACGTCACCAGCGAGAAGTCTGAGTCGCATCTCACTACACTCTGCGACAAGGTCATCTGATGGCGGCAGCAAATCAGCCAAGAAACCACGCAATCGGGTCATTTTACTGGCATGAACATTTGTGATAAAACTAACCTATTTTGACTGAAATTAAATTGACTGATTTCTTTTAACTTTAATGAATGACTATTGTGGAATTACTACAAGCAGTTTTTTCTTTGTCATAGTTTAACAGCTTGTACAAAGTGTTTTCTTTTTACATTATGTATCATCTATTGTAAATATCTAAAGCAATATGCTTAATAAACATATCACCGAATGTGACATCATTATATGGCCAGGTTAGTTTTAAAGTATTTGAGGTGTTTATTATAATCCAGATTTATCAACTCTAAACCTAGCCTAAAGTAGAAAGGGCTAAGGAAATGTTTTAAATAGATTGAAAGGTAATAAAGGTTCAATTGTAATAATTGGAAAGTGGACATTTGCAGTTAAGATAAACTCTATTTTTTTTATTTTCAAAACATTATTGATTGTATTTTGAAAAGAATTTAGCGGTTAGATCTAATTTATTCATTCCAAATAAAAACTCTGTCACATGATTTTCAAAATCACTAATAATGTGCATATTGTTGGAAAGGAATATCTCAACAAGTTTTGTAAATGAATGTAGTTATTATGTGTTTCCAACATACTAAATACATGTATTTTATGTGTTGTGTAAATTAGCTTCTCCCATTGACAAAGTATTTTTCAGTAAGAACAGAATTGTTTTACTTCATATTTAAATGAATTGTTTTCCCGTGAAATCACTGTGAAGTCAATAGGTGTCATACAATCTTTGTACTTGCACAAACATGATGTCAATTAATGGTCTGGGCTAGAGTACTGAATCCCTTTGAATCAAGTAAATCCTGGTGTTTATTTGTGCAGATTTAGGGCATTTTGTTGGTTACCTTAACCAGCACACTTTAGACAAAACAATTTGAAGGACATATTTTAAGACGGAATGATGAACCACTTTGTAAATATAGTGCCTGTGTCTAGCAGTTTATGTACAGGTTGTTGAACATCTAATGTAGCACATTTTGTAAAGCTTGCAAAGTATTTATAAATTATACATGGCAATGAACAGAATATAAGATCCATGCCAAATATGACGAAAAAATGAAAAGTAGACTCTGGTGAGACCAGTTGATTGCAGAATCATGAAAAATAGTCAGTGTTGAGTTTAAGCAAAATGATTAATATAGCACTGTTCTTTCTAGTAGCTTTTATTGTATTTAAGAATACAATAATTGTGAAATAAGTAAATCAGTTCAGTTAATGTAATCTTACTGTATAAAGAACCTGTAGTTAGTGTCAGTTACATGAATAAATCATTTCTCAAAGCATAATTTGTATCAATTGAGAAGTGTTAAATTCATATGAAATCACTAGAAACAAAAAGATGTTTACTTTACATGGAAAAGACAGATGTGATTTAAAATTAATTCTTCATGCAGAAAAAAAATCCAGATTTTGATTGAATACAACTTTGGCACAATAGAAAACACAAAATCCTCAAAGAATTGAAAAAAAACCAAAGATGTAGCTTTTACTATTCAAAATAACTTTTGTACGTTATTCCAAATGGGCTTTGCCACACACTGTCTCTGCCGTAAAATTTACAAAATTGTAAGATATAAGATCATTATCAAAATCATTACAATTTCAACAGTTTCCAACAAATTTCAAGATAGTGATTATTTATAAAATACCCTGCATACCAGTAGCTACGCATCACTTAGCTGTCTGTGAAGTTTGCTTTCCTCTTCTCGACAAATGCTGACATGCCCTCCTTGCGATCATCCTGAAATGTAACACACAACAGAAGATTTCATCGTTTAAGAATGAACTCTAATTGATCTTAAGCTCACCCCTCACCTTTCTGATTTAACCGGTTTACCGGTTCATCTGGCAATCATACAGGGGTGCGTGCTGAAAATTCGGACCCATCTGACTGTACACCAAGCGACTGGATGAAATCAAACATGTTTCATACTAGCTTGTTTCGCATCCGATTTCACCACATCCGATGTCACTAGAAAAATGTGTGGACAGCACTCCGATTTCAAATGACACAGGATTTATGTTAAGCAATCAGATTCAAGAAGGAAGTCACATGATTCAAAACTGACGGCTGTCATTTTGTCATCATGTGACTGATCATCATGTGACAGATTATAAAACAGAATGGGGCATTCATGCGGGTTAACGGGTTAACATTCACCGTTGCGGTCTCCCCAACGATGAAAAAGCCATACCGGTGATCTAGCTTTAGGCACACCAACTATTTTTCCAAATTTGCAGCACAAAATATTTGACATTACAAATTTGTTTCTATGTGTTCAAGTTTGAGCCAAGCTTCCATTAAACTAAATAAACAATTTATAAGGTAAGAAACACCACAAACTTACAGTTGCAAAAGTGGAGTAGAAGATTTTCTTCTCGTTTTTGAGGCCTTCATGCAGGGAGAGTTCATATGCAGAGTTGACTGCTTCCTTCCCCATGGCAACCGTCAGTTTGGAGTTTCTGCCAATTTTCTCGGCCAACTCGATGGCCTTGTCAAGAACCTCCTCGGCAGGATACACCTTGCTCACAAGTCCTGCAAATAACATGCAAATGAGATATAAATTATATGTAAATGAGATGCAAGCAATACGCCACAGAAGTGTGACGCCATGCGGGGTCATCTCCAATAGTCCAAACAATGTCTCATCCGCCATTTTACCGTACAAATTGCACAGGTGATTTAGATGAACATTTTCTAGTTGACATTTCACAGAAATTAAGAATTTATAAGGCTGGAATATGGGACTGTATTTTGAAGCTGACTGGAGTCATCAATGTAATCTGAACATAAAGAATGCTGTTTTATTTTTCAACAGATGCAAAACTGTTGAATTGGGCACCGTGCCTATTGCTATTAAAGTTACGCATATGTGATGCGATCAAGCTAAATGAGTTGTTTGTCTACCCTGGTCAATTTTTTTTACAGATTTGAAAAGAGCACAATCTCAGCATTACCGCTGTGAAAACCGCATGCTGATACCATCTTTAGTTTAAAAATTATGGAAGTCGGAACACCAAGAGATGTGATGAAGTGATGTGATGAAGTGGCCCTATTTTGACCTGAATCTCCAAATGAAAATTCCCGACAAACGACTCATTTAGCTTGATCGCATCACATATGTGTGTTTGGACATATCACCCTGGACAATGCGAGACCCAGGCAGTGTATGACGTAACCACTTCTACAGCGTATTAGTAACCAATAGAGTGTTCTGATTTTGAAGGTAACACAACAAAAAGTTGCAATAAAGAAAATAATCAAAGCCCAAAAATCCTTTCTCAATCCTGGAAATTTTTCCTTTGCAAGAATCCAATGGCACATCCTTTTCTCTTGAAATTCTAGAGATGCATTAAACCCTACATGTGACTGGGTGTCTCTTTCTGGATCCTGCAAAATTCTTCTTGAATTTGAAATTTCAAGCAGTGTTTGACAACTCTTAATCATCAGGCTTCATGGGCACTTTTTGTGGATCACAAATGTTCCTGATAGGTGTTCCAAGAAACTCCAAAGACATTTTTACCCATTTCTTTGGCTTCTTGACCGGTGATAGGGTCTCCAGTGAGAACCATCTCCATTGCCTTGGATTTACCGATAGCTTTGGTAAGTCTCTGAGTACCTCCTGCACCTGTTGACCAAAAAAAAAAAATATTTATAAAATGTGCCCTTTCCATTCCAATGATCAAAGGCGAATAACAAAGAACTAATTTCAAACCCAATTTCAAAAAGTTATGACAGAGAAGAAAAAGACAAGACACAAACTTTGAGATAAAATCAGGTCACCGCCCCAGTGCCAAACTGCAGTACGGGGAAACGTGTATCCCGTCAACAGGGGATTTATATACTTAAATCTACACCCCATCCTGCCATTGGTAATGTCTTGACTTTTCCTGAGACAGACGCCTCTAACCCTACTTAAGAAGGCTGTTCTTAGCAAGATTCCTGGCTGACCAAATAATGGGAATTATTGGGTAAATATTCAAGGGCCTTAACAGGAAAGGCTCTGCAAAAACAAATAATGACACTTGCTGTACCTGGGATTGTTCCTAGCAAGATTTCTGGTTGACCAAATCGGGCTTTTTCTCCAGCATAGATAATATCACACATCATGGCCAGCTCACAGCCCCCACCAAGCTGTGAAATAAAGAAGACAGTGTGTTTATTTCAAAGTTCAGTCCACTGCTATCTTTCATCTCATGATCTTATCTCAAACCTTAACCTCAACCCTGTTCTTCCGCAATTGTGATTTTATTTTAGTCTTCTTCCAATAATTAAGTTTTTTTATTAAAACTTAGTAGTTTCTGCCTTGCAATAGAGTAAATGGGTGCATTTACGAGTAGCAACGGGTGCCACATCGGTGCGTCAATACAGAAAAATGCAAGTGTGTACAGTGAGCTTTTTACAATGTAAATCACATTTTCACAAGCCTCATAAATGCGAATCTGTTTTGTTTTTCCATGTAGCCTGGTTTTCATTTTAGAAATACCCCATGAATGACATTCAAATCCTTCTCTTTCATTGTCTGAGAAGTTACTAAGTAATATGTCAAGTTTATTATGGGTACTCGAGTCCGTAATCTGGAACCGGTTTCTGACATCAGTGGTTGGGTACTCGGGTATTGGTTTCAACACACAGCCCTACAATGGAAGACACATATTAAGTCATCTGCTTCTTTTAGGTCAAATAAAACAAATGTCAGCAGTTGATGGCAGGCAGGTCATTCTCCCAGATACTTACAGCGTAACCATTCACAACTGCAATGACAGGCTTTCTGGTCCTGCTCACATGGTCCCAGTCTCCAAGGAAGTTGCCGCTGTAAACTTTCTGGAATGACAATCCCTGCATCTCTTTAATGTCTGCTCCAGCTGATAGCACAATGAAAAAATAATAAATAAATAATATAAAACAATTGGAACAGTGGATTTCTTACTTAAAAGTAACTAAGTTTTTTTTCGAAAAGAAAGATATATTTACTAACAAATTATTACAGATTGGTATTAACCAATGTATATTTTCATACATGACACTTTAAACATTTATTTACTTTATTATTTTTTTTTCAGGTTGGGGGGAATCACAATCAAACCGTTTGGGTCAATAACTTCACTTGGCAGAATAATCCTTCTTGGATGCATATCTTTGTTTCACTGGGATAACTTTGTAACTGAATTCACCCTAACCCCTAGGCCCTATTGGCTAGGAACCATCCTCAATCCTGCAATATCCTCTCATTGCTACCATGTGAAATTGGATACAGCCTTCAGTCCTCCAAATTCATCTATTATTTCTTGACTTTGTTCAGTGGAGGGGTGACTATTGCCTCAATCATTCAAAATCCTCCAACAAGCACTATTAAAAGGTTGAGGCAATGCCGGTGACATTCAGAAGCAGTGCCAATGATACCGAGCATAATGCAGGGCTCAATTATGCATGGATGAACAAAAACAATGCTGGGAACAGCCCACGAACTCCACACAATGCATCCTCCAAAATCAATTAACACTTTTTTTTGCCAATCAGCCTCTTTACTCCAAAATGGGCTAGTTGATTTTGAAGGATTGAGGGTTAGGGTTCAAAATACAAATAAACACGTCAAAGATGACTGCGGAGTACAATTGTCTGTTCTCAAATGTTACACTGGTCAATAGATCTTCCAAGCACCTACCAGCGAATGCCTTAGGTGATCCTGTCAAGATGATACAGGCAATATCCTTGTCTGCTTCAAATGTCTTGAGAGCATCCGACACTTCGGTCATCAATGCATCACACAGAGCGTTCAAGGCCTTGGGCCGATTCAACTGGATCAAGCCAACATTCTGATTCTCTCCTTTCTTCTCAACGATGATATTCTCATAATTGGCTGAGTTTGCATAAAGGAATTAAACACAAACCAACTCTTGAAGCAACACAAATTACACACTCATATTATTGTAGATTATGCATGGGGTGCAGTCGATGTGTACTTATGCAGGAACTGTAATTGTAAATTGAATTTCAAATATAACACATTTAAAAAAACATATTTACTATAAACATGGATGAATAAAAAAAATCCTCCATGCTATAAAAAAAAAATTACTTGACTATAAGTTTGTAAGTGTAAGTGAATAAAAATACCACTGCAAATTTTGGAAAGAACGTTGCAACCTGACGCTGTTTTTTTTTCATATATCATCTCAAAAAAGGTCAGTCATTGCAAAAATGTTTAAAAGCCATGAATCTGGGGCTGAGAAACATTTCTAATTTTGTTCGAATACAACAATTTTTTTGACTCTCCATAGATTTTGCACACAACAGTTGGTCAAAAGTGCATGCATGTGGGCGTACTTCAGACCAATACTGAAAGACAGGCAACAGCCTTACTGATGCACTTCGCCAAGCTCAGTTAATTACAACCTGAAATTATAAGATAAGTAGACCTCTGAAGATAATGAATTCAGTGTTTGTTTGTTTGTTTGTTTGTTTGTTGTTTTTTGGGGAAAGATTTCCATATACGAAGTTCACTCAACACCCTGTGTACAAACCCTATGAGATTGGACTGAAAAATTCTAAGTGTTTTCCAAGAAAATGCTCGTATTTTCTCACTGCTCAAATTGACTTTGATGACATGAAATTGCTATCTGGGGGCTTGTTGGTCAATACAGAGGAAAATGAGTGAACTTTGTATATGGAAATCTTTCCTTTTTTTTTGCTATTATAATGCAGTTATAGAATACATGGGTTGGGGTGATTACATTAAATTTGATAAAATAATATCGATCTTGATTGGATTTTCTGTTCCCTTAGCAACGCGTCAACGGGGATGTCCATGCATAGCAGGGTTTATAGAACTACTTGTGGCTGAACATACAGAGGAAGTCCAGTATTTTAACCACATTTGGGGCTAGCCAAATGGCAGCAAAAATATTCCCTCATTTATATATTATATAAACATGTGGATTTATAAAATTATTAAATCCACATGTTCATCATTCATGTTCAACCATGGTTCAACCATTGCCATTAAGTAGTAAGAGGATTAAGCTTAATAATATGGACTTTGATCAGCACTACATCATGTACAGTATTCAGCTCAGTAATATCATAATCAGCTGTGCAATGCACGGCATGGCACAGCATACTGCATGTACTGTGTACATAAAGTATGATGTACACGTACGTAGGCTATGTGCGACTGCGACCCGTATTCGATTCCATACCGTACCTGCACAGGCTGCAGACGACAAACATCGAAAATGTCCAGCTGATGACGGAAAGTACTTTGAGCGCGTCGATAAACTAACCACTGTCCTTGACACAAAAGTCCTACCAAGGGCAGAGGCACATTTGTACAAAGAGGCCATTGTGTGATTTATATTTCTATTATTCGGGAAGTTTTTACAAGTCCAAAGTACGTACCCCGGGGGACAAATGTAAAGTAACACAGCTAGTCGTGCAAGTAAGTAGTAGTCTGTTGAAATGTCTCCCCATAGCGTTTTGAAAGATGATTCTGGGAACTACACTTGATGTGCAAAGGTCAACGAGAGTTCAAATTGACCTGTAACGTTAATTCTCGTGAGATTCTACGTGATGTGAATGATGATTGGGCATACCACTAAAATATAGGGATGCTCTTTATTAATTATATAAACATATCATCCATATAAAAAAACAAACCCAAATTTGATAATTTTTGTCTACATAATTACACATTATTGTTTTTGTGTGTTAAAATTGATGTATTTAAGCATAAAATGGTGGAATAAATTAATTATTGTTTTATCAAGGGGATATTATTTTACCTTTATGAAGTGAAACCGTCCAAGGGGGACGACCCCAATCGGGGGTCAGACAAGTCGACCGTTGAGACAACTCGACTCGGGACAAGTCGACCGTTGAGACAACTCGACCGTTGAGACAACTCGACCGTATGTGCGATAAATGGAAAGACAAGTCGACCGTTGAGACAAGTCGCCTCGCATGTTTTGGGGCCTAGTTTTGGGGATAGTACCGGGGATTTTGACGGCGGCTGATCGCCGTTTGGGAGTTATGACACGTAACAGAGCAGAGCCGATATAGCGCAGCGTGATTGTCCGTGCACATCGTTCGTTTTTGCCGGGCCTGTGCGCGCATTTCCGGTCAACCGCGTGGCCGTACCGTGCACGTGCCGTGCACGTTAGCTGTCTCAACGGTCGAGTTGTCCCGAGTCGAGTTGTCTCAACGGTCGACTTGTCTCAACGGTCGAGTTGTCTCAACGGTCGACTTGTCCCGAGTCGAGTTGTCTCAACGGTCGACTTGTCTGACATTCCCCCAATCACCCCATGCATATAACAGGAAGCCTGTAATCTTCAACATTCGCTCATTTGTGTCTGAAGCAAAATTGTCGTCAATTCGAAATCGGTGATCGTTGGATCATAAATTTGTCCATGACAACATGAACTTGACTCCAGAGAACCCTTCGGGTAACAAGTTATTGTATGCCGGCTTTAACCAAGATCATGGTGAGAACTTGTTTCAGTCAGTCAGTCTTTTCAGATACAGTATTTTTAGTAACATTGACATTGTCAATGCATGTTCAATTGTGTTTGTGTTGCGCCCCAACTATGGTATCGGTCCCAACTATAGTTGGGATCGTCCCAACTATAGTTAGGACAGTCCCAACTGTAGTTCCACAGTTGGGCTGGCCCAACTATAGTTCAGAGTCATCAAGGGGGCCCATCTATAGTTGGGCCACTCCAATCTTTTTTATTTTGCAGTGTCCCAACTATACTAGTTAAATTACATATTAACATATAGCCCCACTAGTGTGGCCATCGGTATGCTGCGCTGAACCTCTGGCCACACACCGTGGTACCGCGCACTACTGAGGACGAAGTTTTCATAAAATTTACAGGCAGTTTCTTACATATGGTTGTATTCTATGATGTCCCATCTATCACTTCTGGGATGCTTAGGTGTAATGATGTTCAATTTTCCGAGATATTCTTGAATCTTTCTGGAGCTCATAGTCATATGCACTCGTGAAACGTCTGGTGATGGCAGCCATTTTGAATGTGACAAGAGATGACCTCAAGCTGTGACGTCGCGTTTATGCAAATTGCTTGTCGAGCGAGGGCGCGAGTTTCAAATGCGCAGCTGTTTCCTGTGTCGCGCGCGTCGTCCAAGCCGTCGACATCGATGCCCACGCAGTGCATGCGCAGGGTATTATTTTAATTTTTATTTGGAACAGGAAACAGCCGTCGCATTTGCAACTCGCGCCCTCGCTCGACAAGCAATTTGCATAAACGCGACGTCACAGCTTGAGGTCATCTCTTGTCACATTCAAAATGGCTGCCATCACCAGACGTTTCACGAGTGCATATGGGCTCCCAGAAAGATTCAAGAATATCTCGGAAAATTGAACATCATTACACCTAAGCATCCCAGAAGTAATAGATGGGACATCGTAGAATACAACCATATGTAAGAAATTCCCTGCAAATTTTATGAAAACGTCCTTAGTAGTGCGCGGACCACGGTGTGTGGCCTTAGGTTCAGCGCAGCATACCGACGGCCACACTAGTGGGGCTAATTAACATAGAGCTTCTCACTCTCAGCGCTACTTGCATGTACTATGTGTCATGCTCCACTGCACTCCCACTCCGTATCTGCGTAGCCGCCAACAGGGTAGTTGGTTTGGACTTAGCATTTTTTCAGCAACTCCCATTCATTTTGTGTTGCTTCGTTCTCAAGCATATTCAAAGGGACTCCTACTCCTAGAACTATGAGGCTCCACTACAAAAACATAGGCAGATTACCCCGCTAAACTGTTTGCTATACAAAACACCAACTAAGTACCAAAACGTCCATCCCAACCAAGCTTTTTCCCACAGAACCGCTGCACAGTTTGCCCCTAAACTCCGTACAATACCTCATGACATACTCACGCTATGTGCACCAAACAAACATCGGTGGATTCTGTCGGTTTTTCGGCAAAAACGATGAAAAATTTGCCCTTTCCGCACTGAGCCAACCTGACGCCCGCAAAATGATCGCAGTCATTTTCGGTTCGATCGCTCGGAGCGCGCCACGGGGGGTACGGTAGGAGCGGAACGATAATATGCGCATGCGTTCAAGTGCAAGTACGTACCCCCCACGGCGCGCTCCGAGCGATCGAACCGAAAATGACTGCGATTATTCTGCGCGCGTGCAATAACAACCTCATAAATGGACCCAAATTTTGGACTACCTCCGTGTATTGGGCCCCCTAGCAGTAGCACATAGGCATTCACACTAAAAGAGTCCCAAATTTTCGAATCAGCAAGCATAGATAGCAAAGTGACGAGTTGAAAACGTTCCGTTGAAACAGGTGTTTTTTCACAGGCCTAGACCAGTAAGTAAAACAGTAGACAAGACTTTCAATTTGTTCTGTTGCAACATTATTTTCGCTTTGGACGCACACTCCCCTTCTTAATTAATGTACTAGGGTAGGGACCGTTCACTGAGCACCGTCGATATATTGATGTAATTGATTACTGAATTATATTGATATCACCAGTAGCAGTTTCTGAATTATATCAAAACATTGAAAATTTCGATATTGAGGAATTATCTCGAAAATATTGAAAATTTGTGAGATAATCATCAAAAGAAATCTCCCGTTTGTGCTTCAGAACTTGATTTGCATGTTTTTTTCTGCACTCAAGGTCCCAGTCTGGCCTAGTACTAATGTCTTTTATCTACTTGTTTCCGCAGGATGTTTTGCCTGTGGTATGGAGACTGGTTTCCGTGTCTATAACACTGACCCATTGAAAGAAAAAGAGAGGCAAGGTAAGTCTTGTAGACGGAGGGAAATGTGGCTACTTTTCAAGAGCTGTGGAAATGAACAGAGTGTTTATGTTGATGGATGCATCAGATATAGGGCTGTCTGTTTTGAAATAATTTAGTATTTGATTACACGAGCCTGCTTCCGTCTCCTTCTGCCAGAACGCCGCAAATATTTGAAATTTGCACACATCAGCTGTCTTTCAGAGATAAATTTAAAATGAGAGTTTCTTGATTTTGTTTCAGATTTCACTGATGGAGGGGTGGCACATGTGGAAATGCTGTTTAGATGTAACTATTTAGCACTAGTTGGTGGAGGTAAAACACCCAACTATCCGCCAAATAAAGGTAGGAATTGTGACCCTTAGATCCGTCTTTGTTGCAGGTCTTGTCTGTGTATATGCTTGGCATTCTTGGGTTAGAGATGAGGGTACCAGCCTAGATATTTCATTCTAGAAAGCGTCATAGTAGGAGCCATTGCCTGGTGCTGTGTGTGAAAGCTGGAATGTTGTGCTATGCAATTCAAACTGTACCAACCTCTCCAGCCGAGATGGAGACTTCTATATTTTGAGTTGCTTTTGTCCACAATTTATGCCTGGAATTGCCAAAATTCTCAAAAATTTCATGAGGCAGAGACAAGGTCCTCAGTATCCAAGTTTTTGAGGAGATGGACCTTCAGTAGTCTGGTGGCATGACTATGGAAATGTGTAGAAATAGAGACTGGGTACCGGATGTTTCTTTTTACACAGTTAACTGATACAGTACTAAAAGGGTGTTGGACTGGTTGTTTCAGGTGCCAGTCTATCTTAATTTTGTGACTTTCATACACAGTATTGCAAGTCCCACATTTTCAGACTACTGTTCCCCATGCTTGAATGCATTATGCCATTCAGTCCTTTTCTTTTCTGTCCATTCAGTGATGATATGGGATGACGTCAAGAAGAAGCCAGTCATCGAACTAGAGTTCTCTGGTGAGGTTCGATCAGTCCGACTCAGACGAGACAGGATCGTTGTTGTCTTAGAAACCATGATCAAAGTCTACACATTCACCCAGAATCCTCAACAGCTACATGTCTTCCAAACGTGGACAAACCCAAAAGGTAACTTCGAACATTAGAGATGTATGCTGTAACTGACTTTCTTGAGCAGGGACAGATTTCATGGCTAACCTGCTAACCACAGAATTCCGTGCAGACGATCACCATTTTGTGCTAACCGCGCTAGAACAACAATTCTGTGCTAACCCTGTAAGCACAGAATCCTTAGTTACGGGATGTATGCATGCGCAGTAGCCAAAATTCCTTGCTAACCCGTGAAATACGCTTACCGTAAGCAGGGATTTTTCGCAAACGGTAAGCAGAGCCATGAAATTGGGCCCAGGCCTAGTGGTTAGTGTTTGTGACTCACAATCAAAGGGTCAAGGGTTAGAATCCAGTCACTTGCCAAGTGTGTTCTTGGGCAAGTCACTTTACCTCTTTTTGCCTCTCTCCATTTTTGTTTCTTTCCTTAGTTTGATGTTTATGACATCAATTAACCGCGACTCGTAATCATTTTGGCAGGTCTGTGTGTGCTGTGCCCCAACAGTAACAATTCTTTGTTAGCGTTCCCTGGTCGTAGGACAGGTCACATACAAATCATTGACCTAGCCAGCACAGAGAAGGACCCAGTGGACATTGCAGCTCACGATAATGCCTTGAGTTGCTTAACGTTCAACCATCAAGGTACAAGAATAGCGTCAGCATCTGAAAAGGTAAGTCAAAGTGTGCTGCAGATTTTGTGGAGCTGTTTTAAATGAAAATGACAGGCAGTGTGAAGGAAGATGAAGCAACAATGACAATCATCAAAAGTAATGATGATGTATGATAGTGACATTAATAAGGATGTGACGTTTACACGTACAACGTTTACAATAAATCTGTTAACAATAATTCCTAATTGTTGACACAAACCCGAATTATAGAAAAGAGACAGTATGAGTTAAACAAACACAGCAAACATCTTTGATGTTTTGCCTATGTAATTTACAAAACCTTTGAAGCACTGCAGTACTTGATTACATTTGGGGTATATCGTCGCGTCAGTGCAACAAGGTCGTAACTCCATTTTGCAACAAAGTCATATCTCGCGCAAATACGTTCCATGCAACAAGGTCGTATCTCAACGTTTATTGACTTTGTGTGTACATCTGGGTTATTGTAAGTGAGATACAACCTTTCGACATTATGAAACTCGCGTTTCGCATACGGCGCATTTTAGAAGATATGGCCTTGTTGCATGGACATGATGATATGTATTCAAGTTTTTATGTTTTCGATGACACCCTGCTATTTATTATGTCAATCATTGTTCATTCATTGTGGTAATCACGCCAGTTTGCGACTCTAGACATATGGGCAGGCATCAACCTTTATGAAATGGCTAAACGCTTAATCGGTTCTTTAAAATATTGCTGAACATTTGGAAAAATAAATGCAAAGTCACATCCCTAGACATTAATTACAGTGTTGACAGGGATAGTGACAATGACATGGATGACAATATTGAGATGATATTTGGCAGTGTCATTGACAGTATGGATGACAATGACTTCATGCGTGACTACAGTTCGGACACCAGCAGTGATGACAAAGAATGTGATTACAATGATGTAGAAACTTTTACTTCAGAGATGATAAAAGTCTTAATTGAAACTGATTTTATTTTCCAGGGAACTCTCATAAGGATATTTGACACAAGCAACGGAACCCAGTTACAAGAACTAAGACGGGGCTCAGGTAGTGCTAACATCTACTGGTGAGTAACTTAAATAATAACCCACATGGTTGATTTGTAGTTTGCAACGGGGTATAGTAAAATACAGTATCATGTAGACCATTTTTTTTTGTAACAGAATCTATTTTATATTAAAGGCTGATCTGTGCTTAAGAATAGGATTGGCAAGCAGATTTGACTTCAAAAATTGTGCTCACTTGATGTTGTGGAGAATTTGCAACATATGTTACATCTGTTGATTGAGTTGTAGGTGGCTTTCCTTTGATGGATTCAGCGAAAAGCTGCTAGATGCAAAGAGTTAAAGTCTGTCATCATAAAAAGGAACGGGCTTAATGTTTGCTTGTTGAGTGTCACACATTGAAACTCATGATGTTATTTTGTTACAGCATCAACTTCAACCAAGACTCCTCGCTACTGTGTGTTTCAAGTGACCATGGCACGGTGCATGTGTTTGGAGCGGAGGAACCACGGAAAAACAAGCAGTCAAGGTGAAGAACAAAACATTGACCTCATACCCATCACCCTAATAAGTCCTGAATAGACCCAAGTATTTAATAGTCGCTCATCAAACGAATATTCGAATATCTTTTTGTGGGTTTGAATATTCGAAAAGAAGAAACTATGCACATGCACATGACTGTGTTGTATTTTTTACTCGTAAAGTTGCACTTTGTTACTGTCAGATGCCTGTTTATTGGTCACATTCGTTTAGCTGGAATGCCATTGCCACACAGTGGTCATGTGCCATTGAATACTCTCGGACCTTTCTATTTGCCCACAGCCTTGCATCTGCCAGTTTCCTGCCCAAATATTTTAGTTCCAAGTGGAGTTTTTCCAAGTTCCAAGTTCCAGGCAATGCGCAGTGCATCTGTGCATTTGGTGCTGACAGCAACTCAGTCATAGGTGAGATGTTTATACCGTGATGTAATCTTGGGGGCGAGAGGGGGGCGAGAGAGGGGCGGGAGGGGGCATGTGATCCCCAACAAATGTCTGTGCCTCTCCCCACCTGCCTACCCCATTGCCCCCGGTTTAAAATCTTGAATTGAACAAAAATATGTTGAAAAGAAATATGCACCCTGGGTGCCCCCAGAAAGTTTCACACTAATTATGCCACTGAGTTTATAGTAATGTCATCAAGGTCTTTTTTGGGTCTCCTTGTACAATGTGATAATTGGACAATTAGCTGAAAGTTGTCTTGTAAGCTGAAATTCAATTTCACCATAGAAGTTCAGTTATTTGTGTGTTTTAACAATTACTCCATGAAACCAATAAACAGTGCACCTCTTCTGTATCGTGAATTGTGTGGGGAAAGCAAACCGGTTAATGCATAAACATGTACTTTGAATTAAATGCTTTTCCAACTTTGTTTTTTTAACAGCAATCTGCGCAGATGGCAGCTACTTCAAATTTGTCTTCAATCAGAAAGGAGAATGCAGTCGAGAGGTCTATGAGAACTTCCTTGAAATGACTGATGAAAAGATGTGAGCCCCACCCATCATTCAACCATTCAAAAGCTAACTATAATGACGTGTTCTCAGTGGGAACGTCCATATTACTACACCTCATGCATATTCATGATCGAGAGCCGAGTTCTCACTGGTCTATTCACCATCACGTGTCAGCGGCTAGTTTTGCAATTTAGCAAGTGGGCATGCAAGTATTCATACACAGCTTAAATAGTTATGCATGGTAGACTATCGCAGTGGTTACCAGTGCGCTAGTCTATTACGCATGCACTTCACAAAGCAATCGTGGAACTGGCGCAGGTGGTAGTGCGTACGCGAATCACCCTAGCAGCATGCAGCAACTACATGAAAAGATGGGGAACAACAACATTTTGCCGAGAAAACGTATGCGTAACATCATGAAATGTTTGTGAATGTGTTTGAGGTATAGCAAAACAAGTAAAATATGATTTAGTTCTGGTGGATAGTCGATATTAGCCATTAGGTATGGAAGTTGACAGACTAGTTCTAACTAGTCTGTCAACTTCCAACACCTCGGAGAGCTAATATCGACTATCCACCCGAACTGAACCATGTTTTATTTGTGTACTAATACAGACATCCGTCATAAAATGTCAAAAAATGGACGTCATTTTATCAGCTGTACCATTAATTCTCTGTAAATAAATGTACATTAAGTTTTAATTGTCTTGTTTTAAGACAGCTGAAACCGAACACTATTTGTGTTCTATGTCACTTACACCGCGTTTACACTCGATCCTGCAGAGGGCGATCGCATTCTGCGGTTGCAATAAAACTACAGGGAAGCTAACCGCAAGAGAACTGTGCCGTGTTTATACCCTATCCTGATCTCCCTCCAATCCCCAATTTACAACGGAAGGAAGGTCATTGAGTGTGCGCAGAAGATGGCCAATTTTGCGTGCTAATCACTGCAGAAATTGCTATCATATTGATTTACTTAATATTTTACTCACGCTGGTCCCCCGATTTTTGTCGTAATATAATCTAGCTTCATCCTCCACGCATTGTTAACACTAGTCCACGAATATAAAACAACATAATATCAGCATAAATAGGACTACACAAATGATCAGATTTGGGGACATGTCCTGTGTGTGTAGGTAGCTATTTCATGGCGATTGTGTAGCTAAAGGGCCCCGTTCCAAATATAGAGAACGTAACCTGGTGATTCAGGAGTCACCCAACTACTAATTAATATGTAACACCAACCGGGCTTTGAAGTTATTAGGGAGTCTTTGGGGGTAAACTAGCAATGAAGACGATGATTTCAAAACACAACCCGAAAAAAATCGTTGATGGCCGGGCACTGCGGCAATGCTGAACCGCGTTGGTATCAACTGAAAATGCGTGAGAAAATCGCATTTTCAACCCAAGGATAATGTTCAAACTTCCACACAAAAAATGGATTTCAAAGAATATAAACCAGACTGCTTAATGCAGAAATGATTTTGGAAAGAAAAACACTATTTAAGGACTAAAACAGAAGACGGGCCCGTGACTACACAGTCTCCAATTTCATGTATGTGGATGAAGCACCAATTGATTCTGGCCGAGTACCAACCGCACATATGTACTGTGCACAGAACCGCGTTGGGAACCATCGCAGCATTCACACAGGCCTCACCGGCAACTCACTTACATAACAAAATATATTTCGCGGACTTTTCTACGCTGACAGGATGTGGCTGGATCCCCCTCAGATCCCCCTTACGGGATCTAGTGTAAACGTGGTATCATCCAATGTGATCATCCTGATAAACTAGTGAAATAGTCTTAGTGTGAGAATGATCACTGATAGCATGAGCGTATCAAGCAGTGACATAATATGTTGACATCTGATAAATTGTAGACTGCTAAGCGTTTGATCGTAAGCAGTAAGCAGTGATGGAGTGTGCTTACTAATTTGGCTCAGTGTTATGATGCTCTTGTTATGAAGCATTTGATCGTAAGCAGTAAGCAGTGATAGAGTATGCTTACTAATTTGGCTCAATTTACGAAGCTCTTAAGATTCACAGTGGGACCCGTTGGAAGGCTTACTCTTTTGTACATTTTGCATTGAAAGTAATAAAGCTCTTGTTATATAAAAAGTTATTTAAACCAATAGGCCCTAATGGAGCAAACATCCATGAATTACCACAAAATATTGAAATCAATAGTGATTCAAATTATGCATTAAAATGACAAATCAAAACAGGGAGTAATAGTCATGCAGTCCCATTATTGCCAAACAAATGATTTTACTAAATCACAATATATTTTTTAAATGTCCAATGAAATTCTGTATGGAATGTATATTTTGTGAGTAGCCTATCAGAATTTTTTTGAACATACTTTAGTTATTTGTTTCCATAAAACACAACCGTTTCTTTAGGTATTGATAGTCTTTTTCACCTTGAGAGTCATTGAAATAGACCTTGCATAAAACATAAATATTCAAAACTTGGCATGACATAGCCAAAACAAGCTTGATTCACTAATAAGATGAAACTTTTAAGCTTCAAGTTATCTTTGTTTATGTCTTGTAGATTGTTCTTCATTTTCGGTATAAGCACCAATATTTTCTATCCAATATTTTTATGTGCATAGACGCTCCTTGAATGTGGAATATGGAAGTTTCTGTTCAAATGGAATTTTTGTGTTTGGTCAATCGAGGAATCTTTTGTCTTAAAAGTTCAGGATTTCCACTTGTGTAGAGCCTGTCACATGGGTGGTACCGCCATTGTAATAGGCTGCCTGTGTATAAACACCTTTCACTGTTTAATTTGTCATTCTCATACCTTACATGACATATTCTAGATCTTTCCCATTCTCGTTCATGTGCTGGCCATGAGAATTCTTAATTATGCTGAAAAAAGTGAATATCTGTATACGTATGATCAAAATAATTATAAAGTTATATATGAATGTTAAAATGTCTTCAAGTTTAAGTACTTTTCAGTTGGCTCAATTTGTTTACTAGTACTGTAGCGAGAATTTCTAATGTACATGATGCTGTACATACAAACATTGCCAATAGACCTTCTTCATGAGGAAGCCATTTTTGACCGTGTTCCCTGAATCCATTTTATAAATTGTAGACTGTTGAATGGGATGGTGCCAGACTATTTTATGATTGGAGTGCATTTCAAGCTTCACTTTCTATTTTTGTGAATGTGGTTTAAAACATGAGGGTATGTTTAATTATTCATCAGAGCAGACTGGTATTGATCATTTCATTGTCTTCATTTCTACTCGCAAGTTCCAAAAATAAAGACTTTACCTCGCTTTCCTTTTAAGATTGCCAACTCATGAATAAAGTCTAATCATAAGTTAGGCGGGTCCTGAATTACTTGGCCACGGCTGGGAATTACGCACATGTCTATGGAAGCGGCTGACAGCGGCTACAGCCACTTCCCATTCACCCATGTGTTAATTCCAGCCATAGCCAAGAAAACCAGTCGCAGCCTCAATTGATCATGTAGTTGTAGCTGCATAAATGTCAACGGCTCTTTCATGTTTGAATTCAAGGCTCAATGACTGTTTTCAGTAGACATTTTAACCTTGGTTCGTGATACTTACCAAATGTACATTGACTCAAATTGTTGGTGAAAATCCCTTAAAATGTTCCTTTAAAGTGGAAATAAATAAGAAAATGTAAACATGATTTTGTTTTCAAAATATCTTGCTTTTTAATTAAACAAAAGTCTACAAAATTAGGAATTCAAATCACATATGGTGGGAGGGAATTCATGTGTTTTGTACTCTTTTTTGTGTTCAAAGTAAAGCCCACAGTTTGAGATTAGTTTAATTTTCCTACCCACTCTCTTGCGATTGTTTTCCTCGTGCGGTTCTGACAGGACATCAGAGGGCGCCCTTTAAGCCATCATGAATATTCATAACGTCCAATGTGGATGGCTTTGGATTATTAGTAAATGAGTCAACAAGTATGGAAATACAAAATCACCAATGCAAGCCACTGATTTGTGGACTGGGTTTCAATAAAACGATATTAGATATGCATGTAATGGACCAATTAGAAGACTGCAATAAGATGTAAACCCGATGTAACCAGAATGGGAAAAAGTCGCCTTCAATTTGACTGCAATAAAGGAGGAAAGGCAGTTGACGTAAATTCGTCATTTACATTATATGTACTATTAAGGTTAAGAAGTCCCTGGAATGAAAAGGTTCAACCATGATTATAATGCAATCCAAAACCAAACTCACGAGCCTAAAAATCGCTTCTGAAATTCCGTTATTGAATTCCCCACTATTTGCCCAGGTATGTTTTGCTGAGGATGTTAGCTTTATTCCTTTTAATTAAATCAGACAAGAAAATCACACGGCTAAAAAAAAAAACCACACCCTGAAGATGTGGCGATCTCATCAGGTTTTTGTACATTATCTATTATTGTATTTTATATTAATTGCTTTGGTTACATTGTAGCAGTGTGAGGGTACTGTAACAGTTGGTTGGCCGAAGAACACAGAGCGTGTGCCAGTGACTAATTAAAATGTTGGGGGTTATATACCTACACGCATGCGCAGTCGAGTCTATAGATAAAATGGTAAAAATTGTCATTATGAGAACGCCAAGTCACTCTGAATTAAAACAAAAAATGCACACAAACTGTAAATGCTATGAGTTAGTGTCAAACCATCTAGACAATCTAATTAAACAAATAAAAACTAAATTAAAATTTTAAACGATGTTAAAATTTGACAAGAATTTACAAGAGAAATCAAACAAAAAGTAACCAATGAGCATCAATGAAATCCATGCCCAGCCCCGTAAACTGAAAATGTATTGTTAACTAACGACAAACGGTTTAAATGTGTTTTGTGCCACCGAGTCACGTCGCCTACGTACTACAGAGGTCACAGAAGAATCAAAATGAATTCACTCAGGATAATATTCTTCAAGGCACACACCTTTTTTTCTGCCGACTAATGATTGCCTTTGCTGAAAATAGGTTCCAAGAATATTTGTTTATATTTTGCCATACCGGTAAACCATCCAGCGTAAAGGCCTGATAAACTTCCCTATTCTCTCATTAAACAACCGTACGAGATTAGTCTTGTATTGCGGTGGACCTGGTTCGAACTCTGAACTCGGCTTTCTGGTTGTAGCATCCGTGCTTCCGGTCAAGCAACCATCTCTTTCGGCTGAGTCGCAGGACAGAGTGGATAAAACCTCGGTATTCAGTGTGGGAGAGATTGCACTGGAATTATCAGACTCGATAGGAACTTGAGTTGGGCCAATTGATGTACCTGCTGGCGCTGATGATGTGGTCAGAGGAGAATGACTTGATGAAACACTGGAAGCAGTTGATGATCCTGCTGATGTAGATGGGGTAGCACTGGAAGACTGGCTCGACATTGGGGCACTGGAAGCAGTCGGCCCAGCCGATGATCCCACCGATGCAGATGGGGTAGCACTGAAAGACTGGCTCGACATTGGGGCACTGGAAGCAGTCGGCCCAGCTGATGATCCCACCGATGCAGATGGGGTAGCGCTGGCAGACTGGCTCGACATTGGGGCACTGGAAGCAGTCGGCCCAGCTGATGATCCCACTGATGCAGATGGGGTAGCACTGAAAGACTGGCTCGACATTGGGGCACTGGAAGCAGTCGGCCCAGCTGATGATCCCACCGATGCAGATGGGGTAGCGCTGGAAGACTGGCTCGACATTGGGGCACTGGAAGCAGTCGGCCCAGCTGATGATCCCACCGATGCAGATGGGGTAGCGCTGGAAGACTGGCTCGACATTGGGGCACTGGAAGCAGTCGGCCCAGCTGATGATCCCACCGATGCAGATGGGATAGCGCTGGAAGACTGGCTCGACATTGGGGCACTGGAAGCAGTCGGCCCGGCTGATGATCCCGCCGATGCAGATGGGGTAGCGCTGGCAGACTGGCTCGACATTGGGGCACTGGAAGCAGTCGGCCCGGCTGATGATCCCGCCGATGCAGATGGGGTAGCGCTGGCAGACTGGCTCGACATTGGGGCACTGGAAGCAGTCGGCCCGGCTGATGATCCCGCTGATGCAGATGGGGTAGCGCTGGCAGACTGGCTCGACATTGGGGCACTGGAAGCAGTCGGCCCGGCTGATGATCCCGCCGATGCAGATGGGGTAGCGCTGGCAGACTGGCTCGACATTGGGGCACTGGAAGCAGTCGGCCCGGCTGATGATCCCGCCCATGCAGATGGGGTAGCGCTGGAAGACTGGCTCGACATTGGGGCACTGGAAGCAGTCGGCCCGGCTGATGATCCCGCAGATGCAGATGGGGTAGCGCTGGAAGACTGGCTCGACATTGGGGCACTGGAAGCAGTCGGCCCGGCTGATGATCCCGCCGATGCAGATGGGGTAGCGCTGGAAGACTGGCTCGACATTGGGGCACTGGAAGCAGTCGGCCCGGCTGTTGATCCCGCCGATGCAGATGGGGTAGCGCTGGAAGACTGGCTCGACATTGGGGCACTGGAAGCAGTCGGCCCGGCTGATGATCCCGCCGATGCAGATGGGGTAGCGCTGGAAGACTGGCTCGACATTGGGGCACTGGAAGCAGTCGGCCCGGCTGATGATCCCGCCGATGCAGATGGGGTAGCGCTGGAAGACTGGCTCGACATTGGGGCACTGGAAGCAGTCGGCCCGGCTGATGATCCCGCCGATGCAGATGGGGTAGCGCTGGAAGACTGGCTCGACATTGGGGCACTGGAAGCAGTCGGCCCGGCTGATGATCCCGCCGATGCAGATGGGGTAGCGCTGGAAGACTGGCTCGACATTGGGGCACTGGAAGCAGTCGCCCCGGCTGATGATCCCGCCGATGCAGATGGGGTAGCGCTGGAAGACTGGCTCGACATTGGGGCACTGGAAGCAGTCGGCCCGGCTGATGATCCCGCCGATGCAGATGGGGTAGAGCTGGAAGACTGGCTCGACATTGGGGCACTGGAAGAGGTCGGCCCGGCTGATGATCCCGCCGATGCAGAAGGGGTAGCGCTGGAATACTGGCTCGACATTGGGGCACTGGAAGCAGTCGGCCCGGCTGATGATCCCGCCGATGCAGAAGGGGTAGCGCTGGAAGACTGGCTCGACATTGGGGCACTGGAAGCAGTCGGCCCGGCTGATGATCCCGCCGATGCAGATGGGGTAGCGCTGGAAGACTGACTCGACATTGGGGCACTGGAAGCAGTCGGCCCGGCTGATGATCCCGCCGATGCAGATGGTGTAGCGCTGGAGGACTGGCTCGACATTGGGGCACTGGAAGCAGTCGGCCCGGCTGTTGATCCCGCCGATGCAGATGGGGTAGCACTTGAAGACTGGCTCGACATTGGGGCACTGGAAGCAGTCGGCCCGGCTGTTGATCCCGCCGATGCAGATGGGGTAGCACTTGAAGACTGGCTCGACATTGGGGCACTGGAAGCAGTCGGCCCGGCTGATGATCCCGCCGATGCAGATGGTGTAGCGCTAGAGGACGGGCTCGACATTGGGGCACTGGAAGCAGTTGGCCCGGCTGATGATCCCGCCGATGCAGATGGTGTAGCACTAGAGGACGGGCTCGACATTGGGGCACTGGAAGCAGTCGGCCCAGCTGATGATCCCGCCGATGCAGATGGGGTAGCACTGGAAGACTGGCTCGACATTGGGGCACTGGAAGCAGTTGGCCCGGCTGATGATCCCGCCGATGCAAATGGGGTAGCACTGGAAGACTTGCTCGACATTGGGGCACTGGAAGCAGTTGGCCCGGCTGATGATCCCGCCGATGCAGACGGTGTAGCACTGGAAGACTGGCTCGACATTGGGGCACTGGAAGCAGTCGGCCCAGCTGATGATCCCATCGATGCAGAAGGGGTAGCACTGGAAGACTGGCTCGACATTGGGGCACTGGAAGAAGTCGGCCCAGCTGATGATCCCGCCGATGCAGATGGGGTAGCACTGGAAGACTGGCTCCACATTGGCGCACTGGAAGCAGTTGGCCCGGCTGATGATCCCGCCGATGCAGACGGTGTAGCACTTGAGGATTGGCTCGACATTGGGGCACTGGAAGCAGTCGGCCCAGCTGATGATCCCCCCAATGCAGTTGGGGTAGCACTGGAAGACTGGCTCGACATTGGGGCACTGGAAGCAGTCGGCCCGGCTGATGATCCCGCCGATGCAGATGGGGTAGAGCTGGAAGACTGGCTCGACATTGGGGCACTGGAAGAGGTCGGCCCGGCTGATGATCCCGCCGATGCAGAAGGGGTAGCGCTGGAATACTGGCTCGACATTGGGGCACTGGAAGCAGTCGGCCCGGCTGATGATCCCGCCGATGCAGAAGGGGTAGCGCTGGAAGACTGGCTCGACATTGGGGCACTGGAAGCAGTCGGCCCGGCTGATGATCCCGCCGATGCAGATGGGGTAGCGCTGGAAGACTGACTCGACATTGGGGCACTGGAAGCAGTCGGCCCGGCTGATGATCCCGCCGATGCAGATGGTGTAGCACTGGAAGACTGACTCGACATTGGGGCACTGGAAGCAGTCGGCCCAGCTGATGATCCCACCGATGCAGATGGGGTAGCACTGGAAGACTGGCTCGACATTGGGGCACTGGAAGCAGTCGGCCCAGCTGATGATCCCGCTGATGCAGATGGTGTAGCACTGGAAGACTGGCTCGACATTGGGGCACTGGAAGCAGTCGGCCCGGCTGATGATCCTGCTGATGCAGATGGTGTAGCACTGGAAGACTGACTCGACATTGGGGCACTGGAAGCAGTCGGCCCAGCTGATGATCCCTCTGATGCAGATGGGGTTGCGCTGGAAGACTGGCTCGACATTGGGGCACTAGAAGCAGACGAAGCAGCTGATGATCCCGCCGATGCAGATGGTGTTGCGCTGGAAGACTGGCTCGATATTGGGGCACTAGAAGCAGACGAAGCAGCTGATGATCCCGCCGATGCAGATGGTGTAGCACTGGAAGACTGACTCGACATTGGCGCACTGGAAGCTGTCGGCACAGCTGATGATCCCACCGATGCAGACGGTGTAGCACTGGAAGACTCGCTCGACATTGGGACACTGGAAGCAGTCGGCCCAGCTGATGATCCCACCGATGCAGATGGGGTAGCACTGGAAGACTGGCTCGACATTGGGGCACTGGAAGCAGTCGGCCCAGCTGATGATCCCGCCGATGCAGATGGGGTAGCACTGGAAGACTGGCTCGACATTGGGGCACTGGAAGCAGTTGGCCCAGCTGATGATCCCGCCGATGCAGATGGGGTAGCACTGGAAGACTGGCTCGACATTGGGGCACTGGAAGCAGTCGGCCCAGCTGATGATCCCGCAGATGCAGATGGAGTAGCACTGGAAGACTGGCTCGACATTGGGGCACTGGAAGCAGTCGGCCCGGCTGATGATCCCACCGATGCAAATGGTGTAGCACTGGAAGACTGGCTCGACATTGGGGCACTGGAAGCAGTCGGCCCAGGTGATGATCCCGCTGATGCAGATGGTGTAGCACTGGAAGACTGGCTCGACATTGGGGCACTGGAAGCAGTCGGCCCGGCTGATGATCCTGCTGATGCAGATGGGGTAGCACTGGAAGACTGACTCGACATTGGGGCACTGGAAGCAGTCGGCCCAGCTGATGATCCCGCTGATGCAGAAGGGGTAGCACTGGAAGACTGGCTCGACATTGGGGCACTGGACGCAGTCGACCCGGCTGATGAACCCGCCGATGCAGATGGGGTAGCACTGGAAGACTGGCTCGACATTGGGGCACTGGAAGCAGTCAGCCCAGCTGATAATCCCGCTGATGCAGATGGGGTAGCACTTGAAGACTGGCTCGACATTGAGTCACTGGAAGCAGTCGAGGCAGCTGCTGATCCTGTTGATGTAGATGAGGTAACACTGGAAGACTGGCTCGACATTGGGGCACTGGAAGCAGTCGGCAAAGCTGATGATCCCGTTGAAGGAATTAGACTGGCAGTATTGGAATCGGCAATGTTTTGAATCATCACATTGGTACCAGATGATAGAGGTTGACTGGAATAATAAGGATCGCTGGACATCATGACATTGGTGGAGTCTGACATGAACACCGTGTTGTCAGTAGGACCTGATGGTGATGGACTGGAATTATAAGGATCGCTGGACATCATGACATTGGTGGAGTCAGACATGAGTACCGTGTTGTCAGTAGGACCTGATGGTGGTGGACTGGAATTATAAGGATCGCTGGACATCATGACATTGGTGGAGTCAGACATGAGCACCGTGTTGTCAGTAGGACCTGATGGTGGTGGACTGGAATTATAAGGATCGCTGGACATCATGACATTGGTGGAGTCAGACATGAGCACGGTGTTGTCCGTTGGACCGGATGGAGGTGGACTGGAATTATAAGGATCGCTGGACATCATGACATTGGTGGAGTCAGACATGAGCACCGTGTTGTCAGTGGGACCCGATGGAGGTGGACTGGAATTATAAGGATCGCTGGACATCATGACATTGGTGGAGTCAGACATGAGCACCGTGTTGTCAGTGGGACCCGATGGAGGTGGACTGGAATTATAAGGATCGCTGGACATCATGACATTGGTGGAGTCAGACATGAGCACTGTGTTGTCAGTAGGACCCGATGGAGGTGGACTGGAATTATAAGGATCGCTGGACATCATGACATTGGTGGAGTCAGACTTGAGCACCGTGTTGTCAGTGGGACCCGATGGAGGTTGACTGGAATTATAAGGATCGCTGGACATCATGACATTGGTGGAGTCAGACATGAGCACCGTGTTGTCAGTGGGACCCGATGGAGGTGGACTGGAATTATAAGGATCGCTGGACATCATGACATTGGTGGAGTCAGACATGAGCACCGTGTTGTCAGTGGGACCCGATGGAGGTGGACTGGAATTATAAGGATCGCTGGACATCATGACATTGGTGGAGTCAGACATGAGCACCGTGTTGTCAGTGGGACCCGATGGAGGTTGACTGGAATTATAAGGATCGCTGGACATCATGACATTGGTGGAGTCAGACATGAGCACCGTGTTGTCAGTGGGACCCGATGGAGGTGGACTGGAATTATAAGGATCGCTGGACATCATGACATTGGTGGAGTCAGACATGAGCACCGTGTTGTCAGTGGGACCCGATGGAGGTGGACTGGAATTATAAGGATCGCTGGACATCATGACATTGGTGGAGTCAGACATGAGCACCGTGTTGTCAGTGGGACCCGATGGAGGTGGACTGGAATTATAAGGATCGCTGGACATCATGACATTGGTGGAGTCAGACATGAGCACCGTGTTGTCAGTGGGACCCGATGGAGGTGGACTGGAATTATAAGGATCGCTGGACATCATGACATTGGTGGAGTCAGACATGAGCACCGTGTTGTCAGTGGGACCCGATGGAGGTGGACTGGAATTATAAGGATCGCTGGACATCATGACATTGGTGGAGTCAGACATGAGCGATGTGTTGTCAGTGGGACCCGATGGAGGTGGACTGGAATTATAAGGATCGCTGGACATCATGACATTGGTGGAGTCAGACATGAGCGCTGTGTTGTCAGTGGGACCCGATGGTGGTGGACTGGAATTATAAGGATCGCTGGACATCATGACATTGGTGGAGTCAGAAATGAGCACAGTGTTGTCCGTGGGACCCGATGGTGGTGGACTGGAATTATAAGGATCGCTGGACATCATGACATTGGTGGAGTCAGACATGAGCACCGTGTTGTCAGTAGGACCCGATTGAGGTGGACTGGAATTATAAGGATCGCTGGACATCATGACATGGGTGGAGTCAGACATGAGCACCGTGTTGTCAGTGGGACCCGATGGAGGTGGACTGGAATTATAAGGATCGCTGGACATCATGACATTGGTGGAGTCAGACATGAGCACCGTGTTGTCAGTAGGACCCGATGGTGGTGGACTGGAATTATAAGGATCGCTGGACATCATGACATTGGTGGAGTCAGACATGAGCACCGTGTTGTCAGTAGGACCCGATGGAGGTGGACTGGAATTATAAGGATCGCTGGACATCATGACATTGGTGGAGTTAGACGACGGTTGCGGACTGGAGTTGTATAGTGGACTGGACACCGCACCATTTGACGATACGTCATTCCCAGCTGCAGTACTTGGCTGAATGGTACTTGTGCCATCTAAAAAACAATATATATAGACGTAGTACATTATTTATTCCGGTCTAAAATCCCTAAAATCTTTTTTTCAGCTTTCAATAATAATGCTCAGTACTCGATACTCTTGTTTACTCCGAAAACAACTTCAATCAGACATGCATATCTATATTCGAAAAATAAACCTGTGACTTTAAGGCAAGCATCCCCTCATCATTCGGTATTCTTTACTTTAAGATATGTTTTTTTGAGGGAATCTAAAGAATGTTTATTGGTAAATGTCCCCTATAAAGAAAAACAGTTTTAGGCTTTTAATCTAACTCACCAGTGCTAGCAGAGGCTTTATACGGGGAAGCCAGCACAGCGATCAACGTGTATGCCACGCCGATGACGCGCACCATGTTCCCGGCCATTCCTTCTCCTGGTAGGCTTCAGATAGAAGTGAAACCTGCAAATAAAATACAGGTGAAAATATTTTTAAAAGATTGTCGAAATCAGAGACAACCGATGCAGAATTTATTGCAGATGTTGCGCACAAGACCTGCGTTTCTTCGACGTTTTCACGAAGTGACGAATCGACCCACGCATCGCAGCGCGATCACTGCGTTTTGAGAAAATCGCTTTTGAAGTTGGTCACTTTTCGAATCTGTAATTTCGCCCCTCTTTTCATCTAAAGTTCAAAATATTTTCCATTGATGCGACAGATCATTAGTTAAATGACATGACCAGATACATATTTCGGCCGTTGGTATTAAAGAGCTCGTAGAACAGATTTACCTCTTTTGTCACCGCGTAATTAATTAAGTAAACGTTTTCTAGTCTTAGAACTGGGCAAAAAATGTTAAGGACACAGAGTTAAGTCCAAATAGCCACCAACAAGAGAACGTTTGTGATTTTGGACGGACTTGGCCACTTCGTGAAAACGCCGACGATTTATTTAAAAAGGTTTCACACTTCAGATTCGGGAGACAAAAGTTCGAGATGAACAGCCCAAATAAAATATCATTCGTTGTTAACTCTCGTATTTTATATAATTTCATGTCAAGTAGCTGAAGTAGGGTCTAAAATTGACGAGTAAATGAGAAAATACGACAAATTGAATACAAAGTAAATGGTACAAAGCATCAGTTGAATACTCAATACATCTTTAAGATAACTGATATGTTGCAACACTTTTAATACGCGCCCCGTGGTCTACACTGTAAAACCGTTGGGCATTCAAACGTTGGGTAAACCTAAATTATCCAGAAGTTGGTCATTTTTAGTAAAGATGTTGATCATTTTCCATAATATTTACCCAACACCAGATGCTCCAACTAATTTGGTGAAAGGCATTACTGACAAACACTCTAGAAAACTTGACCAGATGTTCCGTAACTAGGCTTTCTTTAGTTGGGTATGTTGTCCTCTCACATGGACATGTCACAGGCATATTTATTGATGTCATATAGTTGGTAACAACATGACTGTCAATAAGTGCAAATTTAGAAGCGGATCAGTTTATATTTAACCTTATGGCACAGAGGTCATAAACTGGGGGTAATGTGCTGAATAATACTGTGATAAATTTATTAGTGATGCTCATTTTCACATATGTGATGTAGAACGTGAGCGCAAGTGGTAACTGTAAATTTACATGCGTGTCTTGACAACTATATCACTATAAAAAATGTTGGGTAAAACACTGTTGGGCAATGTACGTAATTTCTCCCAACATTGAAGTTACCTCATTGTGGGTTGATTTGGGTAAAAACTTTCCAACTATTGGAAAGAATTTTCCCAAAAGTTTAACCTGTTGATATGTTGACCAGCATGCTGGTCTACATATCAACCCATTTTGCCCAACGCTTTGCAGTGATGTATGGAAAATATGTCTCGTTGCACAATGTGAAAATAAGCCTGACCAATTTTCTTGAAATCATAGTTGACCATTAATAGACTTCATAAACGTTGTTGAAAATCCAGTGACCACGTTATGAGAACATGTGAAACACCAATGTTATTGAAGTGTAGTAGACCATTAATTAATTCAGTAATTAATGTTCCATGTATTGGTCAAAGCCAACATGCCATCTCATTAATAATAATAATAATAATAATAATAATAATAATAATAATAATAATAATAATAATAATAATAATAACTGGATTTATAAAGCGCCAAATTACCAAAGGATGCATGGCGCTAGAAGGGAACAAAATGAAAGGATGAGGAAAAACCATAATTGTGTAAGATAATTTGACCAATAAAATGGAAATTAATAATTGACCAACTAATTGGGAAAGGCTGTCTGATCATCAGCTGGTAATTTTTATTTTACCCATCTTCTGGTCAAAATGGCCTGCCAATAACAGTTGGTCATTAAGTCACCAAAAGTTGGGAAGTTGATATTTACACCAATTTAGGGCAAGAAGTTTTACAGTGTAAAAAAAAATACCATAACGAATTTTAATTTGTATGTTTAATTTAATAGGAGGAAACGGCCATTTTTTACTTTTGCAAACTTCTATAAAGGCTTCTATTTGAGCAGAAAGGAACCCGCCCTGGGAAATTCGGGCCTCAAATAATTCGAATTTTGCGGGCGAAAAAAACTATAATTATTCAATAAATCGAAATAGCACAGGGAATGCATCTTGGAAAACATATGCATTTAATGAATCATTGAAGTGATCGATTTATGACTAAATAAATTCTTACCATTCAATGGGCGCAGTGCAAGATGGACAGACCGGATAAAATCCTGGCGCTTCCCCAATGGAAGAGGCTTATGCATAGACCTCAAAGCTGAGATTAACGCCGAGTCACCAGCCCTCGAAGCCGTGGTCAATTCACTCTCACAAAAGGAGCTCAGCATTGCCATCTCTCTTGGTTACACGGTACACATAGGATAATAAGAATAACACGCCACACGAAGCCCTAGAACTTACCACCAATCCAAACACAGTTACTATTTGCAGATACTCTCAGGGATGACGAGTTATTTCTCTCGTCTTTATCCTTCCTGCACTGTCGCCTCAGGGCAAACGATTTTACATCTCACCAACAAAGCGATCGCGCCCGTTTTCTCTTTCCATTAGTTGTGACAACTACTGTCTCGTTCAGAAGAGGCTTTGTGACCTAATTGTTAAAAATGCCAATAACTCTCCCATCTACTCAAAGGTGGTAAGCAGTTACATGTAAATTGTGTTTATCCTTGTCATGAGGAGAAGATCTTATTGCCAAATAAACTATGGATGTTTAACTTGATGGCTTGGGCCACCGGTGCATGGCAAAAGTACCTTGCAAGACACTTTTAATCACATTTATAATTCGAACTCACTCCAACTCCCTGCCAAAATATCCCCCCTTTCCCTACAAATGGACTGGAATTTCGCTCATTTCAAGAGGAAATCTTATGAAAACTTTCAAGGAAAGGAGAGTTGCCTCTTGCTTTGATATGATGTTTGGTTTGCACTTACGAGCCCACGGGCTACTACCTGTGAAGATCGGCGGTAAACAGGCGCAAGGCTATTGCACACCCCGCCCGACGGATGAAACCAAATGAGCGAAGATAATTGTGTTTGCTTTCGATACCAAGATGTCATAATGTATGCGAATCCATAAAACTATGCTGGAAGAAAGAAAACCAGTTGAAAACCAGACCTTGTGCTGAACAACTATGTGAGGCGTTCTGGAAAAATGAGACGGAACTTGGCAGAGGTCCTATGAGGGTTTGTGGGTATAGGCCTATAGGAAAGACTGAGACTGAAATTATCCTCACAAAGTGTTTGTTGCACTTCAATCGGACATTCTGCCCTAAGCTGTGGCTGTTTTTCTCCGGACACTTGGCCTCCGTAAATCAAAAAGCGGGGGGGGGGGGGGGGGGGGGGGGGCGCCTGGTGGGGGCTGGTACCTATCTTAAAAATGGGGGCACTCTCCAAAACTGACCGTTATTGTGCATACTGGAAATATATGCAGATTCTCACGAAGCAATGTAAATAGTTTTTGAGCTTTTTCTTTGTTAGGGTTGATCTCAGCAGAACTTTATGAAAATACTTACTTAAACAAATTTCTTTCACGAAAGGGGGGGGGGGCAAGTTGCCCCCTCTGCCTCTTCCAGTGGATACGCCACTGGAAACGAGATGTAATGTAGCCTGCCTACAATACAAAAGACTCGGTCTTTCATGTACTATGTATCTTCATCATTATTAAGGGGCATATTTCTTTGTCTGCCAGCCACCACTATTGCGCCTGCAACTTATACCTGAGAGGAGATTGTTGCAGTATACGAAACAGAAGCAGAGTGTAGGGGGGGGGGCGACCGAGGAGCCACAATTTCCTTCGTATACTGACACTTTGTTCAACTTCAATGATTATAAGTAATGAGTTAATTAGGTACATGTATATCGTTTGCGCAAACTCTATAATAAGATATATTCATGTGCGCTTTCCATGTGCCTGATGTGTCCTGCAACCATCTTGCATATGAGATGGCTCTTAACCAATCATGAGAGTAAAACACAACTTGTTCAACAACCTGGGCCAAGTTCGCGCAAGGACTGTAGTTGACCAATGGTGAACTAACGTTTGCCCGAACTCTGTCTAGTCGACGATGGTTGACTACACTAGTCGACTATTTGGAACCAGCCTACTGGGGTTGGTTGCTTCGCTGGTAACCAATAGCCGCGCGCATCCATAACGCTAGCAGAGAGCCAGGATCCAGAAGTTTTGCGATGACATTTTGACCAGCGTTTGACTAGAGACGTTCGCACATTGCTATCAGTGCGCATGTGTAAGGTACGTCACAATTCAACCACTAGTCGACTAATGGTCCTTGCCCGAACTTGGCCTTAGTTTAGGGGCAGTGGTTATTTGAAATCTAGGCTTTATCTAGTAATTTCTGTAGGTCTATATAGTTTACACAGCCTAGAGATTTCAGGGTCTGGGTCAAGTATTACTACTGTTATATGTTATTAATTATTTGTTGTATGGAACTTAGACGAAGCAAAAAGGATTAGGCCTAATGAAGACTTTTGATTTGCATTTCGGATTGTGAGCTAAGAGCAGCAGTTTGGTCTATTTTATACTTGTGTACAAATTAGTCCAGCAATCACAGAGAATATTGTAAGTTAGATATAGTGCCTTGGTGGTGGTTTTTGATACTTCAGATGTTTGGTAGTCTGGCAACCATTATGTTAGAAACTTGTTAGTAGCGCCGCCGGGTATGTTCATACAAAAGTTTAATGACTGTTGGCATCAGTCAAGAGTTACGCATCATCCCATAATTTAGTATTTATACACGGCAAAATATAAGATTAACCCAAACATGTAGCAATCTTGATGTAATGAAATTCTAAACTGTTTGGGGGAAAAGGCTTGTGGTAAACTTGGGATATCGTATGTAAGACTTTATGAAAAAAAAATCCATAAATAAAATTATTTAAAAATATAGTTTACATGTTTAATCATACAGTTATTTTCAGGCTCATTATAAAACATTAATTCAAAGTTATTCTTTGAAAACTTAGCCCATTTGAGAAATAACTGTGTTGATCATCGTTGTCTCTGTGTAGTAATTTTAATGTGTGAATGTCAATATAGTTGGAGATTAGTAATTATGCTCTGATCGGAAACAGCGGCCATCTTGGACGTCATCTTTTGTTATTTTAATTAAGTAACAGTAAATGCATAAAGAATCACTCATGCATTTCCCAGCAAAATAAAGACGTTGCCTTCAAAGATGGTTGCTATGTGGAAGGGTTTTTCCCTCACAAACCCCTCCTCAAGACAGTCACGCCCACCTACTCAATTTCCCATCTACTAAGATCAAGAGCGCCCTCAATGAACTACTGTACTTTATCATGGAGGTAGAAAACTCTCGTCGAGATATACGCAGGCAAACCTTTTTATTTACACGAAGTTTACACCAACGGAAAATTTGCAAAAGCCTTAACAAGCATGTTGTTGGTGGAAATGCTTAACTCTAAATTTTACATGTAGGCAAAAAACGCAGCAAAAATTGACCGCGCATGGTGATATATTTTCCGAACTACGTAGGCCTATCCTGAGCAGACAACTCAAATAACTCTGTGCTCATCATTATATATACAGCACGTGAGCGCGTGCGGCGGGCTTTAGACACAGTGCCTGCAGGCAGTGCACATGCCCGCAGTGATATTAACGCTGCAGTGCTGCGACTGCTGGAAAGAATGTTGCAACCTGACGCTGCTTTTAAATTTCTTCATAATCATATATCATCTCAATGAAGGTCCGTCATTACAAAAATGATGATAAGACATGAATCTTGGACTGAGAAATATTTCCAATTTTGTTAGGAACAAATACTTTGAAAATTTCTTGACTCTTCATATTCAACTTCGAGAAACTTGGACCCAACTTATCGCCGTTTTAAGTACATTAGGACATGGTCTGGCGATAGTCGCCAGACCATACATGTGGCCGAAAGTTAAAAAAGCGGAAAGTTGGGTCCAAGTTACTCGGACTATTACTCTTCATAAACTTTGTACACAACCGCAGTGCAGTGCCAGTGGTGTCAAAATGCAACATTCTTTCCACACTGTGCATATTACTCTCATTTTAAGTTCCAGTGTGTCAATAGATGTATTTAACCTTTAACCTTTAACTTTTGCATAGGGATCGTAATACACAAGTCAACAAGATGGCAAGACGGGCTGAGAACAAAGTTCATGGATTATGCTGAGGTGGAATTGGTGGTAGTAGACTTGTGGTAGGAACTTTAACACCCCTACCCCATCCAACAATCTCAAACCTAGCCCCCTATTCTTGGCCACGCACTAGCCCAAGTCTAAGGCGACCATGTAGTTACGGGCCCGGTTCTGTATAACTTAGATTTAGAAAACAATTAAGGAAAGAGTTTCATACCTGGACATCACTTGACTTGACACCAAACCCTATGAGCATGAGAGACTGGTCTGAAACAAACGTTTCCTTGGCAAATGCTTCTATATTTTCCCTGCTAATTTTTTCTTTTTAGACTCTACATGTTATCGCTTTCTGGTTGCTGATAGGTCACTGCAGGGAAAACTTTCTGAGCCATTTTAGTAGAGTCACCTTAGCACTTTTGTAGAGTCACCTTATGGCCCCATATGAGAGTCATCTTAGCCCCACAAGATAAAAATAAAAGAGTCACCTTCAAGGGCGGATCCGAGAGCACAATTTTTGTATTTTTTTATTTTATCGTAATTCTTTGATGACTTTCCATCAATGTCAAATTGTCCGCTTCTTTTATAGGAATGGCTGTGGTAATGGGGCCGGAGATGGTGGCTTGAGATCGTCCAATCACAGTGGTGCATGTATGATATATCCTGCAAGCATCTTGCATAACATAAGATGGCTCCTAGAAAATAAAGCAATCTTGAGAGTAAAACACACGTTTCAACAAATCATGTTTGTTTTGTTACATTATCCAATTATGGTATTTCAAGCACGTGGTTGTGTTACGCTTTTCGAATTTCCCGCTGACACACAAGGCATAGAATCTGGACGAATTCCATCAACCATCTCTATGCATCAACACTGCACCTGTCCGAAAATGTTTGGATGGTAGATGCTTTGTTGTGCGATCCGAGGCTTTAGAATAATGGAATATACTGCATGGCCGCGCCCCGGCCTGCCACCCCGCCCACCTTGTGCATGGAATCCCCCCTTCAAAAAACAATAATCTGTTCGTACTTTAGTGAACAATCATAAGTTACTATTACTAGTTTTGGGAGTCTCTCAAAGGTTAACGTTAGATGCGCTATGCACGTCATAAGCTTTCATATCAAAACAGAAAA